AAATTCTTGTTAGTCTATACATGGGTACTAATTGAGTTTTTGAAGGCCACAACATGTGATGTACACTGGAACTTTCAAATCCTGCAGAGTAAGTAAGACAAGTTCTACCATTTAACCAGTGTGGTAATTGTTATCGTTGAAGGATCTTCTTTTCCCAATCAAGTCTATCTACTGAATATGAAGGGGACAATAATCGAAATTACTAATCATCTTACTTAAAGCCAAACCAAGCACTTGGAATCAAACTGCTGTGATTGGAGTTTTATACTGTTTCGGAAGCCTGATATTTGCCTGAGATAGTAAGCTGTTGTAGTGTACAATCTCTCTTGCTTATCAGTGAATATTAATTGTGGAGGATGGTTAGGCATTACGACGACAATGATTTATGACACGCAATCTCCCATCTGCAGGTTCTTGAACAAAGAGTGGAGAATTTAGAACGAGAACTTGATGCCGCCATTTCAGCTGCTGCTCATGCACGTACGGAAAAACGACAGGCTGAGGCAGCACAGAAGGCTGCTGAATTGCGTGCACAAGAGATTACTAAAGAGCTTGAAAACACCACAAGTATGTGAAGTTTATCTCATTGCATGTATACATAACAAATTTATCAGAAAACCCCTTGTACAGTGAACAGTATTGAACTCCAGTTTTAAAAACCGTAAGTTCCATTTTGAGCAAGGTGATAATACTAAGTATCCACATCCATACAACCTGGATGGAGGACATCATCATAATTCTTTGTCACAATCTTATGATAAGAAACATGTCGTGAATGGCACGACAGTTATTCCAAGCCATCATTCAAAAAATCCATAACGAGAAGACTTTGATTTGATGAGCACATCTTTATAAATTAGAAGCTTCAGTATAATCTAAAGTTCTAAACTTTCCTTACATATTCTGTGTGAGGTAGAGAACTTATTTTCTTTTTTATATTTGTGTAAATCTTCAACAGCTATTAGGATGGTGTCAGTTCCATGGAAAATCAGTGAAGTGCTATCCCGGGAGTATTATAATTCCCTTAAACTTTAGACAGTAGTAATGACATATCAAACATACTGATAAGGGCAATTAATTTATGTTTCACTCTCCTTTGGGATTAGTCAATTGGCAAGTGCTATTTTTTCCCTTTTGAAATGCCCTGTGTTATGTCAAAACACTTCGATTTTGAAGGTTCAATATTAGGTGAAAGTTAACATTGTGCAAATGAATATCAGTAATCTTAACGGCACTGTGTCATGGATACATCAATTTTCCTAGAATACAGATGATTTAGCATGTTCTCCTGTCCAAAGATTGTCTTGGACAAATCTAATACATGAACACATACATGCACTTTCCGTCTCGTGAGTCCTTTCAACAGAGGCTGCATCACTGAAATTCTGACAGAAAAAAAGCAAAAAAATGAAAGAAACTCTCTTCCAAAAGGGTTGATTGATGGTAGATATTTTCTTTTTGTCTCAAATTCAATAGAATACAGAGGTTGTGACTTATTATTGGTGCTTTATTTTTTTTTTTTTTTCAGTGGGAGGTAGAACTTTTATTGATATCCAAAATTTACACTCAAGGTAAAAGACATTTCAACCTTACTTTACATTGTATAAAAGAACAAAAGAAATTCAAATCAAACAATGAAAGAATCTCTCCTCCTAAGCACCCTTATCCCAAACTGATCCTGCATACGAAGCAACCTTGCAGAAGTAGGCAATGGAGCAGATGCAGAAAAATCAGTGGAGCTTTGGTCTAAAACTGCCCGATTTGCAACAAAAATCAGCAACAGAGTTTCCCTGAACACATGATTAATTTGGTAATCTAACCTTCCCAAGAAGACCTTAATTTCCTGTAAGATAGCCACTAATCTCCAAGAACTCAGAGCAGCTCCTTGACTCTCATGCTGTACTGATTTTATCTCATGCCGTTCAAGCTATCCTCGGAGAGCTTCTACTTGATTTCCTGTAACCAATGAAACGTTGATGAACACAGAATTCCATTTTTAACCCAAATTTCTCTGTGAATGCAATCCTTATTAGGGCGTCTTATTGGGAGTTGTTTTTTTCTGCATTGTTTCATTGAATCTATCCTGTAGGGTTTGCCAATAAATGTTAGAACTCCAAACCCAATGGTCTCATGGCATGTGCTTAACTCAATGAAGCCTTCATACTGATTAACTGGAGCTCATGAAATACCAGGCAATCATGTTGTTCTTTTGTTTTATATAATATAACACTGGGCCCAGCATTTTTAGACCAGTATGCACTTACATATGTATATGTTTTTCCCTTTCATGTATTTGTTCTTGCTTGCAGGAGTATTTGAATTGCACATGGAAGAGTTGCGTGCACAGCAAGACGAGATCTCTAGGCGAGATAAGGAAATTAAACTCCTGGAAGCTATAATTCAGACGCTTGGTGGGAAAGATTCGCTTTCTGGAAGTGGGTAAGACCTGTCTTGTGAGTGTAATTTGCATGAAAAAAAAATCCTTGTAAAATTTGACTGTAGAGGACAATTTGATATGCATTTGAAAAATGGTTCCTCCAAGAGTTTCACTCTTGTATTAATTGAAAAGCCATTTGGATTTGTTGTTTAGGAGGTAAAACAATGCAGAACCAGTATAAATTTTTGTTTCTGAGGTAAAGATTGTTCTGCGGAATTGCGTAATCATACTGTTTTCAACACTTTATCAATGGCCATTGGCCTCAATTCATCACCTTTTTGTTAAAAGAGCCATGCTCCTCTCACCAAGTTTTCCTTACCAAATGAAGTAGTACCTTCACAACCATCAAATAATCGGGTCCTATATATATACATTGATGGTGATGTTCTACATCATTTGGTACATGAATTTGGTAAAAATAGCATTAGTGGTGTTAAAAAGCACCCTTTTTCGCACTAATTAATTCAAAGTAATGTGTTTTATTGATTAAGGTCTATATCACTGTGTCATCTGGTGTTTGCAGCATTGTTCCCTTTTGGATGTGTGATGAGATTGCTACCACAATACATAATAAAGATCAAGTATAAAGTTCAAACACTTAAATCACTTCACTTTGAGTGTGGGCTATCTTTTCTGCTTTTCTCATTGGCATGGAGGGAAAGTATTTTGTATCATAGTTATTTTAGAGTGGATAATTATCATAACTAGTCACTAAACTTTGCCTTTCATTGCAATTTGGTCCTTGAACTTTTAGTCCTTGAACTATCATATTTTGTCTTAATTAAGTCTTTTCGTCCATTTTTACCGTTAAATAAAACGGAAACATATGATATAACACTTAAAACGGATCAGATTGGATTACTCTCCGGTTGGTCTAACGGTGAAAATAGATGGAAGGATTTAATTGAGATGAAATTGATATTTGATGGACTAAATTAAGACAATAGAAAATTCAGAGACTAAATTAAAATTGGAGGCAAAGTTTGGTGGTTAATTATGATATTTACCCTTTCGGAATCACATTTCACCAAATGATAGTTTTATTGTTCTACATCATGGGGCAAGGCAGCAGTTTATGTCTAATGCCTCTAGTTGGTATAACTAAATACTAATATGTAGGTTAGTGGTACTCGTACCTAATGATGTGTCAAATGATATTGTTCCAGTGAAAAAAGTGTAACATTTGTAGCAATATTAATGTTATTAGACTATGTTAGTTGTCAGAATTATTAAATCAATAAATCAGATTATTATTTTTAGGTTCCAGCAGTATTATTGTTCATGCGTCAAACATATGAAATATAATCTTAACAGCATTCATAATGTTACTTGCACCCATTACTTCCCCAACGCGGAGAAAATATTTAATACACGGTGATACCATGTCAGCAAGCGCGCATTAAGGTTTTTGTATTAAAAGTGTGTTTTGCAAAACATACTTTCACAATAAAAATGTTCATTTAATTTGATGATGTATAAGAGTGAGTTTATGCAAAATCAATCAAGAATAAAATAAAGAGAACCTAACACAAACAAACACGAAGATTAAGTAATTCGGTTTGGGTGACTTACTCCATTAAAAATGGCGATGGTGGCTAGAGAATCTTATTATTTGAGAGATGTAGTGTGTTGAAATGTGTGTAATGCCCTCCATGTGTAGGTGAAACTTACAATTTATAAGGGAATACAGTTTTCGTGGTACCTCAGACCCTAGAGAGCACTTTAATGGAAGCGCCATTTGCAAGGAACCTTGATTAATGCGTAACCCTTGTAATGAGATTAGGTGACTCTATGATATTGGCGTAACGGGAGAGGTAATTGAGGCTTGCAATGCGTACTTTGATTCTCTTCCTAAGATGGCGTTGCTAGTAGATTGAGTTTTTCAAGATGATGGACTTGACCCTCGTTGGTTTGTATCTTTGATCTAAGTTGGGCTGCACATGTGCCCTGCCCAGGTCTAGGTCAGACTACACTTATAACCTAAGTTTGGTCTGAGTAGAGCTCGCATATGTAATTTGGGCTTCGTCTAACCCGGTCCGTCAAACTTTAATAAGTTGTCTTTTAAAACGGAAAAATTTATAAATTTTGATACTCTACCTCCCTTTCAGTATCAAAATCAAATCCGATTACTCATCATAACATGATATATACATCATTTTTATAAAGTAATAGCTTCTTTTTTTTTGGGTAAATATAGAGTAGTAGCTTAAAAACTAATTAGCATGTACAACTGGGTCGGGTAGCTGGTTAGTCTGATGGTTACCAACTTTGCTATTGGATCTAAAGTTCCCGGGTTCCACAAAAAAAAATTCCAAGTGGGTGAAGGTGGGGTCCGGCTGAGATGCTTGAGCTGAACCGACCGGTCCGAGAATTGACTATAAATAATAACAAGTCCGACAGTCTATTCATCCTCATCCTCATCCTCAGCCCCAATCACCGCCTTCAAAGTCTTGTCTGATTTCAATTGAAGGCTTGACGAGGAGACTCTACTCGAATCTTCTCTCTCCTAAAATTTTCATTGCAACGCCTCGAAGTTTTAGCAGGAGTAGCCGAGCAAAGCACCATGGATGAAAGACCATCTGGAGACCGCCTCAAGCGTCCTCTCGTAGAAGACGATGACTCCGACAAACCCCCTGCGTAACTCTCTCTCTCTCTCTCTCTCTCACACACACACACACACACACACACAAACAAAAACACAAACACACACGCACATATGTATGTTTGTGAGTTTGAAACCTGATCTGTTTTTATTCTCTCTGATTTGGATTTTAGGGTTTATATATATGCCCTATCAGGTGTATGTTTCAATGGCCCAATTGATTTATTACCGTCTGTATTTTAATTTTTGTGCTACTCATTTCTGGGTTTGTTGCTGGGAAAACAGAGTAAAGAAAAATGGAATATGATTCTGTTTGGTTGCTGAGGAAACTTAAATACAGAAGAAGTTATTTTTGTTGCGTGTTATGAAAAAGAAAAGGAAATAAGTTCAGTTCGATTATACTAAACGATTTTAGATGGCATAGTTTTGACTGGGCGAATCTTTTCCTTGTGTTCCAAACAACGTAACAGAAGTGATTTTGAATTTTTAGTTCTTTTCGTTCCCTTTTTTCTGTGTGTTATGAAGAGGGCATGCAAAAGCCTTTTTTCCCCCACTTTTGAGAAGTTTGAGTATTGTTTTATATTTTGGGGTTTCTTGTCTTTCCTAGTTTGTGATATTGGGTTAAACTGATTCAGAACCTGTTTTTTTTTTCTATTTTCCAGCATTTTCTGGGTACCAAACAGTGCACCCAAAGAGTATTTGATCTACTTTTGGAAGTTGGATGCAATTTTTTCCTATGGGGTTTTTTGGGTTTTGGTTAGTTTGTAATGCTGCATTATATACAGGCAAAAAAGAATAAGATATCCAAAAGGTAAAAAAGTGAAGGAAGGGAATTCTGTGGTCGATCTGCGCCAAAATCCCCAAGATGTTCCAAGTGGGTGGAGAGATCCTCGTCTTGCTGCCAAAGAGCGTGCAATGCAGCGGAATCGGATTACTGCTGAACTCCTCAGCGAAGAAAATAGAGGAATGATTCATGACATATCACAAGCAGAAGAGCATTACGAGGTTTGTTTCTCTTCGTCTTCCCTATCTTGTATTTTAAAATTTTTAGATCTGTTCAGCCTATTGTTCCCCCTCAAATAATGTCGCAATTGTTTTTCTGGAGTCTGGACAATGCCAATACTAGCACTATGAGAGTTATATGGGTATGTTAGTAAGGAGATGTTGTATTGGTCTTCTCATTGTCAAATTATAGCCTTATTTTGTAGAATCCATACAATTGTCCTGCTAGCGCCATTCCAATTGGGAATTTAGGGCTACACCTAGTTTTTGAAAGTGCAATGCATACACTCACCTCATCATTTTACTTGGCATGTATGGTCTAGATGGTTGCCAAGGTGCCCAGGCTGCCACCCACCACAACTATATATATCCTACTAAGTGGGTATGTATAACTTCTAATGCCATTCTCAATTTTGCTAAGTGGGCGACTTCTGTTGTGCCAAGAACACTTGATGATGGCTAAAACATTTTCTTTACCATTATTGCCTCCTACCCTGCCCACCAGCCTGGTTCTAAGCCAACCCTTACTTATCTATTGCCATCCGCCTCCCATGCTTGGCCATAGAGTTAGGTACGCCCTCACAAGCTGTTAAAAGATTTTCGTTTCAAACCAGGAGCCTAAAACAAGGCGAATTACGTCGCCATTGATGTACATTGATGCCAATTTGATTGAAAAGGAATCATCGTCAAAATCAGTTTTATCTGTCAATAAATTAAGAGTTGATCACTATTTAAATGGAGAACTGCAAAACATAATGAGTTGTTATCAATATGAAACTTCATACCTATACAAAAAACTCCCATTATGTGCTATAGGCAAACACATTGATCAATACAAAAAAGTGATACGGAACTAACAAGCACAATGTTCCTGGTTGACTTACATTGGTTATGCCACTTGATTGAGCCAGAACAATAGAAGACCACAAGACTAGGCAAGAAAAGCCCAAGTCACAAGAAATACCACCATACACTAGAAGAATAGTTTTTTTAGAGAGAGGGGACTTTAGTGGATCTAGAAAGTTTAGATGACACCATTACTAAATGCTACACGATTTAAGAAAGGTGAAAATGATTTCATCAATTTGGTTTCACTTGGGGCCGAGGAAAGGCATTAGGTCACCTTTTTTGGCCAACTTTTTCAATCTTGTACCATTCACTAATATTGTCATGAATAACACTTGTGTTACAATAAAGTCCTCTCGTTTTGAAAAAAAATATTCTTCTAATGTCCGATTGTATATATTGTGTTTTGGCTTTTTGTTGTCTAGACTTGTTGCATTATCTGTTCTAACTCAATAAAGTGGCTCTAACTCAATAAAGTGGAATAAACAAGGTACATAAAATATGAAGTTGTGCTTGTTAGTTCAGTAATTACTTATTGAATTGATGATGTATTTGTCTACTATTAGTAATGGGAGCGTTTTTATATGAATGAACATTAATTGTTGATTGACAATTCTTATTGATATTGATGTACTTCAATGGTGTGGTAATAATTGGTTTTGTTATGTAATAGACAAAATCGGGTTGACACTTGACAAGACTTTCATATCCCAATGTCCTAACCCTAGTGCCTTTATTCAAGTGTTTTAGTATTCCTTCTTGTAATTGGGTCAAAATCCAGCGTTGTAACTGAAGTTGCCAACTTTGTAGGTTTTGAAATGGAATTAGAGGTTACATTTATCAACAATATATGTCTAGACACTGTGCTATTTAAGGTGAGAGGTGCACCAAGGTGTCAATGCTTTTTTGGCCTAGGCTCAACCTTTCGTGAATCATGGTGCATATTGTGGTGCGTATAAAACTTTTGGTCCAATAAAGTCCTGTCCCTTTAAAAAAAAATATTCTTTTATTGTCCAATGGTATTTATTGCATTTTGGCCTTTTGTTGTCTAGACTTGTTGCCTTCTGTTCTAACTCAATAAAGTGGCATAAACAAGGTATGTAAAATATGAAGTTGTGCTTGTTAGTTCAGTATTTACTCAGTGAATTGATTGATGTATTTGTCTACCATTAGTAGTGGGAGTGTTCTTCTATGAATGAATGTTAATTGTTGATTGACAATTCTTGTTGATATTGACGTACTTTAGTGGCGTGGTAATAATTGGTTTTGTTATATAACGGACAAAATTGGGTTGACAAGAGTTTCATATCCCAATGCCCAAACCTTAGTGCCTTTATTCAGGTGTTTTAGTATTCCTTTTAGTAATTGGTTCAAAATCAAGGATTGTAACTGAAGTCGCCTACTTGGTTGGTTTTGAAATGGCATTGGAGGCCACATTTATCAACAATATATGTCTAGACATGGTTTTATTTAAGGCAAGAGGTGCACCAAGGCTTTTTTGGCCTAGGCTCATCCTTTTGTGAATCACAGTGCATATTGTAGATGACATATGGAAAATACAAATTGCCCCGCAATTGCACCAAATTTGAAGCAAATACAACATGTGTCTTAAAACCCGAGGCTAATTTCACAATATTTAGAGTACTCGAACCATAAAAGTAGGGATCAAAATTTTGTTGCGGTGCATAATTTCAGTCACTTAGGAAACAAAACCGTTTTGACCCGTTTCGAAAATAAAATGAAAAAAAATAAAAAAATTAAGGATTATTTTTTTAAAACATTAATCGAAATATAATAAAATATCTTGAAATACCTTGAAACACCTTGAAACATTTTGAAATAATTGTGCAAATGCATTGAAATATAACAAAACATTTCAAAACATGATGGAACACCTCGAAATATTAGAATTTCGATTTCGTTACTAATTCGTTTCAGTCTCTTTGAAAACAGAAATATTTTGGATGTTTCGAAACGATATTTTGATCCTTACATATAAGAAGGTTTATTTTTTGAAAAACAGGTTGATTTTAGTAAATTATGAGCTAGTATTTCAAAAACGAAAAGAAAGAAAAATGGGAAAGAGATACGCACAAAAAGAGGTGCATAAAGAGAGTGGATATGAAGATGAAAAAAACAAAAGTCAATTGGCCCTAAAAAGACACTCACATTTTTAAGTTAGATTATATCGCATCTATGAAGTTCAGAAGTAGATTTAAGGTTTAGAATTAGAAATTTATACATGGAACTCTTAACATGGTGTTATTCATATTAGAATTCTAATTAAAGTCACTAGATGAATAACCCAAAATATATCATTGAAGGGAAGAAAAAAGCCCATGTCTCATGCATTTGGTGTGTAAGTCCGAGGCTCATGCCACGACTGCACCTAGGCGAAGTAGCCTCGTCTTAGTCCTATTCTCTCGGTCCATCTCGAGCCTTGACGTGCAACCAAGCGCTCGTTTTACAACACTGATTAGACATATAAAAATTGTTGCAGGTAGCTGTCTGGGCTACCGTCTAGGTGATGCATGCTGCTAAAATAATGTCTTGTTGATTGTTGCCTAGATGGTAAGGACATATGTGGCCCCTCAAGTTTTTGGGCTTATTGGGTGCCTAGGAGACCCTTTGGGCTCTTGCCTCGTCAACTGAGCAATTTTTGAAAATGCCTAGTGCAATCAGATGGAGTGGCACCTGTGTATGGATCTTTTATCTAGTTGATATATTATCACGATGCATCGAATTTGTTATCTGTATTTAATGAATCTTTTATGCATGATGACACACGGATAGTCATCGGGACTTAAATATGCATTTTTTAACCCGAATGAATGTGAAAATATTAAAATAAGAGTTAGTAAAATGGTTCATAGAAAAGGAAAAAATAAGTCACGAGCTTGATAAAGGCATTTTAATGACCCTTTTTTTACTAAATAACACATTAGTTACTACGATCTCTGTGATATGAAATGTTGTATGTGCCAAACTTATGCTTTATTCATTTTATAGTGGTAAATATTGTGGGGGAAGTCTTATATAAAGGTGTATGACTGAATCCATTGAAATTAAACCAAGGACTTGAGTAATGGTGTATGTTATCCTTTGTCTAAGTGCTTATGTGATGTGCAGAAATACACCATGGGTGATTGATCCTTAGGCGTTTGTCTATAAAGATGGAATGTAGAAACCTTGCAATGATATTCAGAATAAAGTATGGAGGGAGAGCAAGAGAGGGGTAGGGAAATTGACACCGTAACTTCCCAAGGACAACAATGTAAAGAGAAAAACTATTGAGGGCAAATGATAAAATTAATATAAGCAGATGACAAACGTACACACTTTTTTAAATCAAAGGTAGTTGACTTACACACTCTGAAGCACGAATATTTGTTTAAAGTCGACTTATCCGTATCAGATACGATATTCGTCAGTATTCGATAATATGTAATGGATACACATCATACATATCCAATAGTAATACAATATATACTTCATTAAAGTCGATGTATCCATTTAGGATACGATATTCATCGGTATCCAATAATATGTATCGGATACACACCATACATATCCAATAATAATACAATATATGGATACTTTGCCAATAAGTATCCAGCCATCCATTATAAAATTTTAACCAATTTTTTTGACAATAATACAAAAAATATTGATCGCCATATTATGAAAAACATGCATAAAGGGAACGTGACTATTAAAGTAGTCAAAACCAATATTGCTTAGAAATATAGTGTAACTTATGTATCTTATATTTGAATCCCTCTCGAGAAAAGATTAAATATAAAGTGCATTTTGTTATAGACGTATCCGTATTCGTATCCTGATTTTTTAGTTTTTGTTATCTCGTCGTATCCGTATCCCTATTCGTATTTGTGCTTCTAGTATGCACACAAGGTGGGCCATGTGCAAGAGATAGAGGAGACATTCCATTGTAAAATTGATAAAAGATTGCTCATTTTATTTTAATTTGTTAATTATTTGTGTGTGAAGTAAGTGGACTGAGGGAAGTTGCTGGTTAAAAGTGGGACATTTTTCCAGGAACGACAGGATGGTGAATCTCCACTTGTAGGTACATATGTATAGAAAAAGCAAGAACGAAATGGTACTTTTTATGGTCGACTTTCTTGTATTCTTGTTGCTGATTTTTCGGGAGTGTTTTCAAATGCTGACAGTTAATTAGTATCTGATGCAGAAGCATGAAAGCATTCTGCCTTTTGCATCAATTAGCCTCTTGAATGGTTTGTTTATTATTTTTCTGCGTGTTTGTGTTGTTATTTTTTCATTTGCTTCTACATAGTGGGTTTGGTCAACCCTTTGTACATAATTGTTATTTCGTTTTTAAAGATCAATGACTTGGGCACCTCTTTTTTTTGTTGAGTGGTTTCATAACTGGAATCCATTACCCCTGGGGTGTGGGGGTGGGGATTAACTGTGGGTTTGAGTTATGACTACGTGCTGGTGTGGCATTTTGTGTGTTTCTTTGCCATCAAGTGTATTCACAATAAGGAATGGTTTTTTCCTCCTTGATTGGGAGCTTTCAAGGTCAGTGCGTTGCGTTTGTTACTGGGTTAAGTGAAAGGATAGCATTTGACGAGGTTACTTTTGACAGGATAACGAGATATTTGTTCAGGACGGGGTTCAGGTGGAACCTTTCAATCTGACAAAAGAGAGGGAAGAAGGTTACTTCGATGCAGATGGAAATTATGTTGAATACCTCAATGATAATGATATCAAGGTACTGTGCCTAGGTTATGCAATGAGTACCTGCTATATGGAGCGTGTTCATAAATCTCATATCTATTCTTGTAGGATGCATGGCTTGACAATGTGGATGTCGATACAAAATTTGCTGAAAGAAGCTCTACAGTAACAAATGATGAAGATGGAACCCCCGACCTTTCATCTGAACAAATTGGAAAGATGAAGAGGCGCATTGCTGATGTCCTTGAGCCTGGAGAAACGGTGAGCTTCCATTTTCTTGTATTTCTGTTATTTATTCCAGAAATTAGATGTGCTTTTTTAAGAAAGCTTTTATCGATGACGTGCAATATTGGTTAAATATTGGCTTTCATGTTGTACTTGCGAGATTAGTGAAGTATTATTATATTGACACCACACCACATACCTATGTCTTAAAAAGCATGCTGTGGGATTTAAGTTTAATGTTATGAAGATCTTTCTGTTTTTGAAGTTTTACTTAATCAACATCATTATGATTCTCCTGGGCACATAGTGTGTAGCAAAAGCACTTTTGTCACATACTCTTGTTGCAATATTGCGATGCATTTTACGAGATGCAAAATAAATACAACATTTAGACATATCACGCATATTTGTGGTCATGTGTCTCCATTACTTTGTTCAAGAGGTACATAGGATTTTTAAATTCAAATTTGGTTTTGGTTAATATCAATCTGCATAGTGGTGAAATCAAATAGAAGTTTGGGAAAGTTGATGAGTATTTCTCCACTTTCTTCTTCTCTTGTGACCTTCAGACATGTCTATATGGATAACTGTTTCGCCTACGATCTCACTTGTTGTGTAGAACTGATTTGCACAGTTTCCTTTTTAAATTTTTATTCTAAATGTCGAGAAATTTCCATTTTTGATGGATTTTTTTGGGCAGATTAAATCATTCTCCATGTTAATATTTTCGGATATGCGTCTATAATATTGTATGCATGTTGGTACTCTTTCCAGGTTTTACAAGCTTTGAGGAGATTGAAAGGAACCACGAATAGGAAGGAAAAGATGTCGCCAGAAACAAAACTTCTTTTTGATCAGCTGACTGAAGATGCCATGAAGCTGATGGAGAATGGTGATTACAGTTAAGTGTGTTCCTCAAAACTTTAGTTAGAGAATCCATTTTTCGAAGATATATGACTCATTCTCAGGTTCAATATTTTTTCTCAGACGTATATGATGACAAGCAAGGGGATTTTCAGAGAGAAGCAGGTTTGTTTCATATTGACTTTTTCATTTTTGTTCCCAATAGAATTTCCTCCTGTTGGTTATTCCATGAGAACTTTATTTTCCATGTTCAGAAGATGAAGGTAGGCACTAGGCTGAATAGAGGATTATCCAATTTCCCCCCCCCCCCGGCACCCGGGGGGGGGGGGGGGGGCGGCCCACACACAATCCAACCCAAAAAAAAACCACCAAACAAGAGAATAGAAAGAACAAGAAAAACTAAACAAGGAAAAGAAAAGACATCCACTTAGTTTTTTATGTGTGGGATTTTGTTAGCAAATGAAGTGTCATGTCATGTATGTAATTTATCTTGTTGAGCTGAATAGTTTTTCAACATGTTCCAAAGTGTTCATTGCTTAAAAAAACTTTTCTTAGGCCCTCTGCATACAGAAAGATATGTCTTAATTTCCCCTTTGTTGAATTTTCAGAAGGATATGAAAGGTTAGCCCAGGCAAGGGGGCAGGGTACCTCCACTAGTGCCGGTCAAGAAAATTTGGATTATACTGTGTCCCAGGACTTTGTTCCTAATGGAAAGGATACGGAAAGTGTCTCTTCTGTTACAGCTGTGGGTCCTTCAAACTTGAATGTTTCTACTGATGCAAGCAATGATGATGCATTGGATATGTTTGCAGAAGATGATGAAAATGCTACTGCCAATCCATCTTTCGATGGGAGTGCCTTTCCTGGTATCCTAATCAAATCAGTCAACCTTCTGAAAGCAAGCTTGAAATTTACAAGTTTCCTAAAGTTCACTGTTGGAAACATCATTTACTTTGTTTGGAGACTTCAATTTTGATATTTTTTCCTTCGATCTGCAGGTGGGAATTTGCAGAATGATTATGTGTATGATGAGTCCTCTGGGTATATGTCTCCCCCCTCCCTCCTTTTTCCTCCTCTTTTTCTTTTAGCACAGAAGCACTTCCATGCAACCAAGACCATTGTACTGTTTTGGTGATATATGGTTGAAATTCTTATTCATTTACTTCTTGTTGCATTTATTTGCTACTTGTTTGTCCATCTTGCAACTGTAAATTTTTTTTACCTTGCCCTATTGTAGGGGTTTTTATAAACTTATGAGTGAATTTCTTTTGAGTTAGGGTTTTGGAAAACCCTGCCATAAGAGAATTGGTGAGATTTCACTTTCTGGGGTCAAACAATCAACAACTGCTTCCCCTCCCCCATTCCCTTCTTTCTTTCTGCACTTTAACATAAAGCTCACCTCTCAGAAGTGAATAGAGGGAGAGGCGAGAGCCAAAGTAAGTAACTTGCCTGTCATCATCACGGGTTTGGCTTCTATGCTGCCAATGCCCCGATGTTTTGTTGTTGAAAATTGGGTCTGGGACGCAAGTTTGAACTGCTTAGACCATGTGTTAGGGAATAACTACTGGTCACATAACTTCTCATTGTTACGACTGGTGTCTCTTCATACCAAAATGGTGCTTTTTTTTAAAGGTAAAAAAAAAATTCCACAAAAATGATTCTATTCTAATAATTCAATGGTGGCATGGGTTGTTTAAGTAAATTTTAGAGATGGGTTGTAAGTGAATTTTAGCTTTTGTCCTTTGAAGAGTATAATAGTCGGAGATTTTTTTTACTTTTTGATTAATTTATCTATCCAGGCTACTGTTTTTTTCCCACACATTCCAACTTGTTTTATGATTTGCATTGCATCTCGGTTTTTTTTTCACTTCTCAAGTCGATGTACAAGTGTCTCATTGTGATTTAAACAATTCCAAAAGCCGGGATGAATCTATCTACTAAAAATTTCTGACAGATTCATGAACATTAATATTTTGCTCATTTGAAATTGCTTGCCTCAGTAGTTGTCTTTCATGTGTTCAGTTACTACTACAGCAGCAGTTTGGGTTATTACTATGATCCCTCTTCAGGATTGTATTGTTGCGCTGCATCTGGACAATGGTAATTCACACCTTTTGTATGCATGTGATTTCTTTATGGTGTTATCTTTGACTGAGTGCTTTTAAATTTGGAAAAGAACCTTCTCATGATCGGAAAGTCTGTCTTTCTTTTGTAGCACTGAAACTTTCCATCTACTGATAAAAATGAGGAGAAAGAAATAAACTTGTGTTTTTATAATGTAATTGTTTGAATGGTGTATATTTAGTATTGGGAAAGAAATGGTGCAAATTTGGATGTAAACAAATTCTTCTCCTGTATCCTTTGTTTAATTATTGTTTCATTTCTGATTGTTCACCATGTAACCCAGAACTCTGGTTTGCACAATCTCGATAATTGAATATCTCGCGGTAGGTGTTCATGCTTCACGTCATTTATATAAGAAATTAACTTGATTCCAACTTTACTGGTTTCATTATTACTTTTACATCTCTCTTCTACAACATATTACACTTTTTACTAATTTAAAAAATTTTGATATGTCCTGATCTGCACAATTGGAAACAATAGTACTTTGCTTTTGCTATTGAGTATGCTGAGGATACTGCTGAACCCCAGTTCACCCTTAGGTTGCTTGTGAACAGCTAGACTAACAGTAGTGTGAATTTTGGACTACTTTATTAGTCATCAAGTGGTTATAATTTATTTGGGTGAAAGATACTTGAATTGTGTTTACAAGCATAAAGATGATGTTTAAAGTTTGAAGAATTTATTCCATGTTTATCACCAATTTAAGCTGAAGAAAATGTCCTCTTATCCTTCTGGTTGCTTTAGATTACTTGGGCCTGATGTACTAGAGATATGATTGCTGAAGGATGCCTGGCAGAAATGTGTTTTGTTTAGACTGGTAATTTGGTTGGTTTTGGCTGCTTGGGGTTTCCACTGGACAATCCCTTTGAATCTTCCATGGGACTTGGTGGTCAGGCATTGTCAATCTAGGGAATCATGTATACAATGGGATACTGAATTGTGTGGAGTGCTTTTTTCCTAAGATTTCTGGATTTTCATGTTCCATGTGATTGCTGAGCAGCAGCAAAAATTGTCTTTTGGAAGTAAACGTGTGGAATTGTGAAAGCTTAATCAGGTGAAATAGTATCCACGCTTTCTGGCATTGTAGAGATTTATGCGCTGCGAAGTCCATGTGTGGATAGTAAATGAACTGGTTCCTTACTTTTTTTGATCTGTCATTTTCTGGGAAAATAGGGTAGGATAAAAATAGAGAACTTGAATTTAAAGAGAAACAACCTGCCTCACACATCGAGGCTGAAGCATTTATGCTTCACCAAATTTGGTCTTGTTGATGCTCCATGTAAGTTATGTGCATATCTAATAGCTTGGACTTCACTGCTTTAAATTTGTCACTGAAAGGGAGGGAATTTTATACAGCCAATGGCTTCTGTTTGATTAGGTGTTGAACATATTTCTTTCTGCTCGCAATTGACTAGCTCTCATACCAGTTAATCTCATTCAGTGTTTAAATCTAAGGATATGTAGTTTTGAAAATGTGATCGTACAACTTGTGAATATTATTCTCATCTATTTCCTTATAGGTACTCGTATAATGAGGAGACAGGCGCATATGATGAAATTCAGGAGGCTGCATCCATCGCGAGCTGACAGACAATTTTGCGTACTCTGGGAGAATTCTGTGCAGAACAGGAAGTTCTGATGTGTGAACAAGGAAGTTATAAATCTGACATTGGAACGACCTTTGTTGTTTATTTTTTTTCCCGAGTGAAGAATCGGATTCTTGGGTTGTGTTGCTTAGGGTATCAAGAGTTGATGGGTTCTCTATAAAGCAAGGTACACTGCCTTTTATTTTTGCTCGAGGGGGGTCAGAGTACACTGTCTTGCTTAGGTGTCTAGTATTTTATGGTATCTCATTACCGCATAGCTGCATGGTGTACGGTTGTTGATACTATAATAAGTTGGACCAAAACCAAGTAAAAACTGATAGATCTGAAGCATAGATCTACAATTGGAATTAAAAAAGGTTTACATTTCCAGAAGTAATATAGCCAAGCATAAAGAACTGAAATGATCTACTGGTATACTGGAGGGTTGAATTCGTTGCATGTCAAAAAGGTTTCTCAAAACCACTTATATAACCATTATATAGCCACTAGGTTGGTAACTTCTGACTGATTGGTCATAAAACTATTTCTAAGATGATTAATTTTTATTCTTTAATGTACACAATAAATTGGATAAAAATCTGTGACTGAAAATTCAAAAATTTAAACTCAATTAAAGTAGATATTCAATGTAAAAACTTAATTTTATTCTTACAAATAATATCCCATTTATCGTTGTACCCATTTTGTGATCTTCATGCTGATAAATATAAAAAAATCTTGATGTAAAGTGTCTTTGGAAGATGACCTTAGCTTGTACATATGTTGTAACTATGTTTCAACCTTAGCATAGTGCTTTAAAACAACTTTTAAGCCTCAATAGAAATGAGAATCTTATATTTTACTTTAGGGTGCAATAGTTATATTTGTTTTATAATAGTACTAGTTATTGTCTGTGTCTGAAGACACATAGCAATAAAAAATGGTAAACAATAAACATTTGTATTCATATCTAAAACTAAATCATAAACATAAAGAAAAAATAAATGAATTTAAGCATCAATTTTGTAGTGGGGGTGAGAGGTGGTGGGCGGCAGTAATGGTGGTAGGAGATGGTGATGATTGTGGCGGGTAACAATGACCGTGGTGGCGGCGACGCTGGCGGTAGTAGTGGCGGTGGGTGTGGCGGCGATGGCAGTGGTGGTGGTGACAACGGCGATGGTGGTGGTGGCAGCGACGATGGTGGTGGTGGTGGTGGCGACGACGACAATGGTGGTGGTGGTTGCGGCAGTGGCAATGGTAGAGGTAGTGGTGCGACAGTTTCAAATACTATTTTTTAAAAAAATATTTATGAGAAATAATGTTTAAAAGTACTTTTAAAAAAGTCACTCCAAACACACTTTTAGAGACCTATTTTTCCTAATAAATTTAGGGTGTTAATATTAGTCATTAGATTAATTTTAAAGTAAATATTAAAGCGATTTCAACCGCGAATAGGAAAAGTTATTTTGTTTATCTTTTGAGACTTGAATTGTAATCTACTTTATTATATAAAATATTTTGGTTATCTTTGAGAATATTAATCATAAAATTTTGTAAAAAAAAACTTGGAATCAGATCAATCAAACAACAGAGGATTGGCGTTTGGGAGGGAGGATGTTTTTTGATGAATGGCTAGTAAATCCAGGAGACCCAGGATTTTCCAAGTTTGTTAATGGATTAAATTTAGATTAAATCTTTGTCCGAAATAAATCCATAATCTATTGGAAATATCCAATTTCCATCCAATTTGATTATCTGATGGAATTAATTTTTCACAATTCATATTCATAATTGGCAAATATGAAAATTTTGATCAGAATTTTCAACCTGATTTCGATAACTTGATTAAATGTGGATCTTAGTAAATAACATCCTACCTGTATCCCAATTTAGTGATATATATATATATATATATATATATATATATATATATATATATATATATATATATATATTGATGAAACCAGATCTAATAAAATTAAAAAAAAAAAAAATCAGATCCATCACAAAAAAATAACCTACAGATCGAATACATAAATCTAGCACAAAGAAACAACCTAAATCTAAGGAATTTAGCTACTAAAAGAAATCGAGAGATATCCAAAAACAAGGAAAAAAATTCTGAAAACCCTAAATCTAAGGACTCTGGTGGACGTAGTTGCTGCTGGACGAAGTTGCTGCCGTGAATGAAGCCACTGGAAGATACTGCTGCTGTAAACAAAGCCGCTGGACAATGCTGTGAACGAAGGGACTGAGAGAGACAATGAGATGATGAGGTGAGATAGAGTTTGGGGGTTTAAATAGTTTTGTTGGCTGATTTTTTGGTAAAAGGCTTGCTAACCCGACATGATCTCATTAAATGTCTTCCGCCCATTTCCTTTTTTGTTTTTTTTGGAAACGACTTTTTTTGTTTCCAAAATTTAAGACAATTTTAAAAACGGTTTCGGTTAAAAAAAAACTAAAATAGTTAAATTTCATGTTTTATGAAAAATTGAAAATAAAAACAAAAAATTGAAAACTAAACCGACCCTAAAATTTTATGTTCCACCCATACACTTAAACCTACATGCTTTTCATGCTGCAAAAACTGTCAAATGATCTCTCTAAATTAAATCCCAGCCTCAAATGGGTTAAAAAAAACACTCAAAACGCTGGATCATCGTGCATCTAAATCGAGTGGTCGTATAAAGATGCTTCAATTATTTTTTCTGTTGACAACGCAAGAGTTTGGGTAAACTATGATGATTCTGAAGTCAACTTCCTCGGGCTCTTGCTATCGTGAATTTCTTCATCTAGCAGCACCAGCAGTATATGGGTGCTTCGATCTGTCCATTTGATCCGTGAGATGACCAGAACCCAGAGGGGTTTTGATGTCTTCGAATGATGCTTCACAAATTTGCTTGTGTTTCGATGCGAACTTAAACCTCAAAAGCAATGAATTTGTCATCACCCCAATAGAGCTGAAACCCATGAGAGCTCCGGCAATTGATGGAGTAAGCATGATCCCGGTCACTGGCAGTAACACTCCGGCTGCAATTGGAATTCCAACCTGTATAAAGCAAGGGAGATTGGGATTGGGATTAGAAAAAAAAACATACATTTCATCAGACAAATCATGGTTTAAGTAGAACCAAGGAATTGTCGTCTGTCACAGACATCAAATTCACCGAGAACAAAAAAATAAGAGAGCAAAAATGGAAATAAATATCCTCAGGTTCCCCCCTACTGTCTCAGCATTCTCAGATTAAAATTGGGGCTAGGTCCAAAGATCTATGTCGGCATCATGCTTATGCAATTTATCAAACCAATGCTGACTTAATTGTCGGGTCAAAATTAAGAATCGTGTCAAATTCATTTAGAATCTGGGTTTAATGTTGCAGGGTGAAGGAGAAAAAGAACTTGAAGAAAGGGAAAAAAAAGTAGCAATCAGATTGCAAAATTGTGATCGACACATGAATCATGTCTAGTTTTCATGTAAATACCCAATGTTAATTAACAGAGCATTCATCAATCAGTTGGCTATGAGTCTTCTGAATTTATAAGTTAATCAATCAAATTGTCAAGAGCAATTGCTGTTTAGGAATTTGAAACTCCGTTGAGCCTGCCAGCAGATTTGAGGACTATATTTTGGCAACAACAAATCACAGATAATGAGCTAAAAGTCTTCTTTCTTTTCCTGCCTTCCCATATTTCAGAAAAAAGAAAAAACCTTTAGAACCATCTTTCCAATTCAATACGCAGGTTACTTGAGCAATAGACATCATTTTTTATGAGAAGAACTGAATCCAACATACCACTGCACCCTGTAATGCAGGGGGAGTTGTATACTGCAAAAACACTTACAATATTGTATGCAAAGGCCCACCAAAGATTTTGCTTCACAGTCTTCATGGTTAGCCTGCTAAGCTCCAAAGCGTCGACCAACTGCATGGAAGTGTGGTATGGGTCAATTTTCCAAGGTATAATACAAGGTCTCATATACATGAGTATCACCCTGAGTTTCTGATGAAGTAATAGAGATCTATCAATACTGGAGCATTTCCCAGTTTTGTGAAAATTTTCAAGCCTCAATTATTAGACATATATGTACAAGACTGCCTTGACCACAGCACATTATTTACTTCCATTTTTTTCGGGTCAATTTGAAATCACTGCCCTCTGAATTAAATCCCTTTTGGCACCAATATTACTGACCAAAGGGATGTCATATAGGTAGCAAAAAGCATGTCATTTTCACCAATCTAACCAGACAGTCTCAACTCCATTTTCCAGAAAAAAAAATAAATAGACAGTCTCCACTCACCAGAGTGGAAAATGAACCTCACATTTGTGTGCTAACTAGTTCATAAGTTGCACTGGTCTATTCAGCCTCCCAGTTCCTGAAAGCAAAATACATGCTCTGGGCAAGAAATCATATTTTCACAGTCGGTTACATGGCCCCTCGTGGTATTTGTAAGGCCTATTCTCTGGTTCCCAACAGGATAGTTAGTTTGAAGCTATTTTCACACCCATTTTGCCTGCTTCCAGGGTCCACAACCATTCAGACTGCTTCCACCATTGGCTGGGGAAGCATCAATTACTCAAATGGCTGCACATGGCAGCTACATAATTATTTTTTTTTTTTGGGGTGCTACAGCTAGATAAATTTCATAACTTGTAGAAATGCACAGATGTGTGTAGCCGGGATATACATATGGCTGGAAAACAAGAAGGCTGAAATTATATGTATACACCAGTAGTGTATAAACTTAGCTTGGTAAGATTTAAAATGAAAATAGGTTACTGGAAATTCAATATCATGTCACATAAAGTGACCCACACTTTCATAAGGGCATCTTAACAATATTGCTCCTAATTACAGTTTTTTGGTATGGGTGTAATTTTAACCCAATGTAAGTTTAAACTGCCATGTCCACCCCAATGGGACAGGTATAATAATAGGTCTTCAAACAGGGACAAGGGCAGATACAAATGTAGACAGGGGAGGTACGGATTTGATCAACCCTGCTCCACAGTACCTGCTACATAATATGGTAGGTCCGTGTCTCTTTCACTTTCACACGCGCACTAGATTGTGTCAAATTGAAAGCAAAGCCTCCCAGTCCCACTGCCCATCAGGAATGGGGAAAAAAGCCAACTACTGACACTATAAAAAGAAATCAACTTTCCTTGGTCAAACATCAGTTCTATCTTGAGTTTAAGCTGTATTAAACTGTATTACCTATATGCCAGATGACTTCATTAAAGTGTCAAAAATTTGAATTCATTAGGTGTGAGACATGTGCACAGGTTGAAAACAATCAGCATGCATGATCAATCATTACATTGTGCCATGTTGGTTCCAAGCTCTTAGTTGATAACAGGCTGTGAGGGGTTGCCTGCCCCAAGTAAGATCTTGTTCTCTGTGATGGCTATGGAAAATTCCCTTTTTCCCTCCAGGGTTGGAGAGAGGAAAGGGACATCTTGTTCCCATCCCAAGATATCCTACGTTGAAGATAACCATAACAGCATTGGTAAAATGCCTCAAAGTTTGATGTTTTCTTGCTTTCTAAGTTAAATGGACAATTTTTGACAAATGTCTCTTTAAATATGCCTGTTAAATTCACAATCTATATAGGTGTTCATATACACTCCAAATTTCTTTAGTAAATCTACTGAGATGTGGAATCAAGTAGAAGTCTCAAGAAATCTTGATAATGGACAGGACTGTTATTTGAGCACCTGAGAAACAATTAATAGAAGCGATACTAGTAAGGAAACAAACAGCTTCCACAGACTAATTAAAAAATGACACTGCTTGAAAGTACCTGGGATAATTTGTCACGCATCAACACAATAGAAGACACTTCACTGGCAGCTCCGACACCTCCACCTATTGCAATTCCAACATGTGATGAAGCCAGGGCAGCAGCATCATTAATTCCATCGCCGACCATAGCTACAATGCCCTGATTTTTCTGAAGTCGTCTTATAAATTTCCTTTTCTCATCTGGTTTGACTCCATACAACACCTGCCTTCCAGACCATGTTACTGAGGTCGGTTTTCATTTAATATTCTAGAGGCAAACGTTTTAATCTTATGTTATATTGAACACACTAACAAAGTTTCAGATATTCCTCAGAATAACTTTCAGGCAAAATTTAGTGCATGAACACTTGGATCAAGGAATACTACTACTGTCCATGTGAATGAGTGCAATAATCAGTGATCTAGGAGGTTAGATTCTTTTTTAACCCTCGTACCTTTTCATGGCTAAGGTCAACCAACAGACATAACAAAAAGAAAGGTAACCCTTTTGCTTCAGAAACCACAACTTAGCTCTCAAGGTATGATAGGATTGCTTCACATGCTAATAAGATGAAACATTTTCAAGAGTTGTAGATAACTGATCTCTCCTTAGATCAACAGTACCTTCATTGCCTAGGATTAAACTCATTCCTAGAACATAATTACCGCATGAGTAAAAAATTAGACTACTAAAGAGATAAATTGGAATGCATGAAACAAACTCAGTTACAACCTAGTAAGTACAGATATGGATGCGACACGATAAATATACGACGATACAACAAAATCTTAAAAAGTAGGAAACAAGTATGGTTAGTATATGATGAGAATGCAAAATATTATATTTTTCTCTTTTAATATTTTACTTTTTATACTTATTTGGTTCATAAATGTACTCATTATTCTTATATTTTGATTTAGGATGCAAATGGAGGCATTAAATGCAAAATGAAATTAATTGGACGATTTTGGACAGTTTTGACATCGCTTCGTAATTTGGGCATAACTCTCATCAGAAATCCGATTGAGATGATTCAAGATGCTATGAAACGCCAAGAAAAAGCTCTACAACTGTCATGTTTTGGGTTTTGAGAGATATTGGTTGCATCAATGTCGAAATTGGGCTTGAATTTGCAGCACATGCACCGTTGTTCCTATCTATTTTAGGGAGCTTAAAAACCTGGGGCAGGAAAATTCCAGAGGAACACCACTTTCCTAGCTATATTAGGATTTTATTTTATTTTCAATCTTATCCTTTAAGAGTTAGACTTGGGGGAGGTTTCCAAGGGAAAGAGGGATGAACGGGTAAAGAGGAAGAAAGAAGGAAAAAAAAAACAGCAAACTAAGCACACTGTTATACCCCTTATTCTCTACTTTTTCCTTCCAATTCTCATGAAGGTCATGCATGGCTAAACCTTGATACTTGGTCAAAGGAAATGGAAGCTTCAAAATTAATAAAGCTGTGAGATTTAATTTGTTTTTATTGTTCAATTTATGATTTGAGTATCAAATGTTCTGTTGTGCCAATTTTTCTTGATTGTCTCGTTTAATTAATAGGAGGCCTACTAGTTTATTATTTGTTGCAATCTACTGCTAGGTTAGATATCAAATCCCTAATTGTTTGATCACTCTAATTTGTGAAGCAACTAATATTAAATGATTTGCTGCGTCAAAAATTATTAGGTCTTAGGAAGAATGCTCGACTAAATTAAATGCATCCACTTGTGCATGTGTTGTTTAGTTTCATTGATCTTTCTAATTCTTAATGCTGTTACTAGATTAAACCTTTAGTACTTGTCTTGGGTTGTTTAGTAGTTAAGGTTAATCAGATCGCTTGTTTTCCAATTAATTGCAACCGAGGAAAGATAGGAAGATAGTTCCAACGGTGAATATTCAGATAGTGAATTGATATATACTTGAATCAATGATCAGTTGTAAAATTAAATTCCGATGGTGGATGTTGACTTAGACCAAGGTTTGTTCTCTTAATTGATTTCGATATAATTTAAATTGTTCTTTAGTTGTTTTTTTAAAAATTATTTTCGTCAAACTCAAACCCCCTCCATCCTTGTTCACGGGGCATAAAACTAGGCTAGATACTCTCCGTTGGCGCAATCCTTACTTACTCACACTACTGCATGTATTTTTAGGAGTATAGGTTTTATTTTTGGTTGCTTACAACAGCACACCAGTATATATATATATATAGGATGTTAGTATAATATTAGGGATTTAATCACTGCAAGGTGGGCAGGCTATAAAAATGATTAAATATTTCTTACGTTTTCCTTCGGAATACCAACAACGGATGCAACATACTCAGCAGCATTCTTTTTGTCCCCAGAAAGTAAGTATGTGCTTATTCCTTGCTTAGATAGAGATTCAACAACATGCCCAGCATCTTCTCTGATCTGATCCTCAAAATAAATAAGACCGGCAAGATTACCATCTACACCAACATAGACAACTGATTGATTCTTAAACTCCTCCACTTCTAGAAATGGATTCTCATCAACTCCATGCCTGCAAGGGGAAAAAAGAATGAGAAGACGATCATAATATCGGGTAATGCAAAGTAATTTTTATTGTTGAGAAACAATAGCTTTCAGAATCATCATGAACTGAGCCACTCTAGCTATGTTTGGTTTGCGTCTCAAAAAACAGTATCCGAAAACTATTTTGGGAAGGATTTTAGAAAACAGTTTTGGGATTTTTTGTGTCGCAGAACTTATTTGGTTATATAATTCCAAAAACTGTTCTACAGAATATAAAATATTATAACTTGTTTAGACAATAACTCAAAAAATAACGAAAACAAAAATGTGATAGTGGTGGTAAAAGTGTGTTGGTGGTGATGGGATTGTGGTGGTGATGGGATGGTGGTGGTGGTAGAAGTGTGGTGGTGATGGTGGTGGTGTTTACTAAATTCTGGAAAGATTTTTTCTAAAAACATACAAAACAACCCTAACTTGTTATTAAATCTATCCACTTTTCGTTCTCAGTTTTCAAAAAACAAAAATAAAAAATAATTGGCCAAACAACTTTTCTCAGATCCAAACCAAACATGGTCTTTGTTTCCCAAGCGTCTTATTTCCATTTGTTATTATAGATTGAATAAGACATTTTCCTGGCAAAAAAAAGTAATGCATGTTTCTCTAGCAATGTTCTCTAAATCTAATAACGTACTGAAATATAAGGAGAAAGCAAACAGATATACCCACGACTCGATTCTCTGATTGGGAATATTGATCGGTACAAAAATTTAAATTTAATAAACTTTTACTGCATGTTGAGATCCTCTGAAATTCATGTACGCTTATAACATTAAAAATAACATTAAGACCCTTGGTGTTCCACTCGCAACCATCAAAATCATCCTTCATCCATTTAGAAGTAGGTTAAGGGTCACTTGTTCTTCTACAGTCTAAAGTGTGTGGAGTCTAGTCCAACTAAATAGTTAACCACACCCTTTCGACCAAAGACATTATGTTCCCATGCGAGCTTTCCAACATGAATAGTCGCTCCCACTTATAAGAACTATGGTTTATTGATCAATAAACCCCAGGAAGTAAAAGCTAGTTGGGTGAACTTGGCTTTGATACCAGTTGAAACTTACCTAATAAGAACGGTGTCAATCCTCTAAGACAAACCTAGAGGAGAGTGAATAAGTTGTTTAACCAATTTATGAAATCTCTCACCAGTTAAACAACAACACACCTAAAATCACAGATTCTGCGGAATTAAAAATAAATCAATCAAGCTCAATGTGGTAATAAACAAGTAAAAATCCCATGCAATCACAGTAGGATCGTTCAACCACCTATTATCAGTATATTGGGATATATTGAGCCAGTGTGGTTGATTCAATCAGTCAATTGAATCATACAAAGACACATTATTTTTTTGTGGAAACCCAAACAAGAAAAACTAATGGATCTAATCCGGCCAAAAAACTCCACTTGTATTGACTCGATATGTACGAGTCAAAAAACATACACCAACTCCCAACTCCTCAGATTGTGGTTTTCCTCTAGAATCTTGATCAGCTGCTAAACGCCCCAGTACCTTAGACATCGCTAGTGAACTACGAATTGAGATCCACTATTCGCTTATCAATTGAATACTCGATTGATACACTCCCTCAAGGAAATCCACCAAGAATGATGCTTCCAAACTTGGAAGCTAGAGGATTCTCACGCCAGACACTCAATTTAGGGATTTGTTTCATTCCATTAATCTCGGCTAAATGATTTTTATTCTTGATCTCTATCTTGGAAGGTTAGGGTCTCCTCTTTTAACCTTTGGAAGACTCTGTCTGTTTAGCTGCCTTGACCATTCGTGAATAGCCTTCCTATTTACATTGGAAAAGGTCCTCATCAAATAGGAAACAAAATCTCCAGAATCTCCTATGCTTAGCCGGCGACTAGTACCAAGTCTGATTCACAGGATGGCTTGAACACTAGTCGCACGCTTGTCGATTCTGCTTTCAATTCCACAGTTGAGCTCACTCGAGCGCCAAGCCTCAATATTTTGGCACTCAATCCAGATTTGACTTCATTTGAGCATCAAGTGCTCATCTGGATTTCATATCATGACCTTAAATATGGTGTTCAAAACAATATTTTTTTAATATGAAATAGGTCATGCAGGAATCACTCAAAGTGTGGTCAAGTTATCCTACTTAACCACTAAGGCTCACTAGGTATCTAGGTCGACTTACCATGCCTAACCAGTGGATTCCAAACATGTAGTCTTCAATGCATGTACCACAACTCGGTTTCGATCTTCAATCTTCAAGACACGACCAAATGGACTTAAGATTTGACTCTTATGACTCGCGGAATTATACCCACACACTAAACTGCTATCAGACGATCATAGGTGAAATGAGAAGCTGAGATCAATGAGTCATCATGCAAAGAGAGATTACCCAAAAAACCTAAAAAATTAGAAATATTTTTGAGAAGCGGGAAGGAATGTCAATTGAGGACAAGATGAGTGACATGGTATAGGATGGTTTGAGCAAACACAAGATCGACCAATGAATGCACTCAGAGAAGCTCACAAAGTTGAAGTTGAAGGATCCAAAAGAACACTAGTGTAGTAAAAGAAGAACATTTGTTTTTGAGATGGTAAGAGAAGAAATGGTGACACGATTTTACGAAATTTTACGAAAAATTAAGCTGGAGTACAATTGAATTGCATAAAGAATTGCTGCATTCAACTCCAAGTAGATGCCAAGTTCAGGCAGAAACAAGGCTAGACAAATGACGAAGGTGACTTCAAGACTGAAAAAAAGACAGGTAAAATATAATTTTCCCCTTGAAACCAATTCCAAAGTCAAGGTCAAAGAATTCCAAAGTAAAACTGCCATGTCAACCAAGATTAGGAGATCAAAAATATATAAATACCTTCGAACCCAGTCCAACGTACCAACAGATACCGTTTTGTTCTCAATAGTTGCTACTGCACCAGACCCAGGTTCCTCCAAGTAAGTTCCATCTTCTATCTGCAAATATGTTTTCATAGAGACATAGATAAGAAATAAGATAATTATGATTAAATTACCGCAAACTAATGACTAGCTAATGCTAAATAAATAATTAAGATATCAACATTTATCAGTGTTAGTGATCTCGATAGCACAAATCAAACAATTTGGGAAATTCAGGCAGTGGACAATTATTATCTGGCCATAGATATGCTAAAACGTCACAAAACTTACTTCTAATCCAGATAACTGCTGAAAAACATAGATGCATAAAAAGCAAGAAGCTATTATTTGCAGTTTCCCTTCACAAATCCTAGTTCTCTAGCACCTAGAAATCTGGATACAAATATAAGAAGACTTCATGCTAGAACTCCACTGTAAAGAATTCCATGTTAACCAAGATCATAGTTATCTTACGGATAGAAACTATTCAGCTGCGTAACAAATCCATGTTGCTCTAACATTTTAATCCAACTCTCAGGGTTGGGCTTGTCTTCAGCCAGACCCTAAATCAAAGTCACCAATTCCTAGTAACACCAACTGATGCCAGAAGCTGACATTGAAAAATTTTATTGATACTGAATTCAGCCAGTAATAGTAATACAGCATTAAAAATGCGTTCAAGAACACTAGGACAATACTTTTTTAGGGTTAAGAAACAACAGTCACAGTCTTCTTCATTTTCAGAATCAAAACTACTGCATCTCGCAAAAAGGAATCCTTGAAATAAGAAAAGGTGCAACTCTGAAATAACTGTAAATCCTAGCAGCCAAGATCTTACACTTACGACCATTGAAATTATTAAACAAAAAGTTAAAGAAAAGGCTACGTGGAATTAATCAAAAATTTTGGTGCATACTGGACATTCAGGTCACCCAACCTAACTGAGAGCAGTCTCCAAAGCACTTCAGGTGCTCAAAATGCTCCAAAAAGTTAGCACTACACATGACAACCACTTAGCTTGAGTGGTGTAGCCTGACAGCACCCTTTTGAGGTTTTATTTTATTTTTTATTTTGATTTTGGTGGTAGGGGGTTGCAGAATTCAAGTCACGGACACAGCTGTGCATCTATTACTTTACTTGTCTCCAAAGGGGGAAAAAGAGGAGGAAGAAGAAAGAGCAGCTACCTATGTTGCTGCATCAACCTAAATGCATTTTGAACACAAACTGGTGCAAGTTTACAGCATGCAGCTACAATTTTATCAAAATCACAGAATATCTCAAAACTCTGCCGGTAGGAATTAAACAAAAAAGCTTCTGCACAATCATCCAATGATATAGTAGCTACAATATTTTTCAGAGTAATTGCTGCTTGAGAAGCTTCATAATTGAGCACTAGAGTTGTATATTTTATGTTCAGGCAGAGGTAATTAACAGATGGCCTTGCTAAAAGAAGACGGTCATCAAGTAAGAGCAGTTACCTTCAAATTGGAACCACTAATAGCCCTAGCAGCCTCCACAATTGCTTTTCCAATTGGATGAATTGTATTTGATTCAACTCCAGCAGCTAACTTCAAAACATCAACTTCCGACCAGTTACAGTTTGAACTTGGTCTGCACCAAAATTTGGGTTCATTAATTACATGATGGCAATTTAAAATTACAATCAATGCATATTATGGAACTCCAAATCAAATTTCTAGCATATCAAGTAACATTCATCAGCAATGCTCTTGTTATTGTTAAACAACCAACAACTCAAGGTGTAACTTATATATTTATACTTCAACACGCCCTCCCGCGTGCACGCTAGATTTTTGGGCCTAACACGTGGAAAACCTTTAATAACCAAGGTGGCGGCGAGATTTAAACACAGGACCTTCTGATTTGATACTATGTTTTGGCAGTAATCAACATAAAAATTGATAGAGCATCCAACTCAAAACCAATTGAATGAGTGGAGAGGCCTTTCAAGCATATAAACAAACCATGAGCGACCCTAATAATTTGATTTGGGACACAAGTTCTCTTTCCACCATTCCTCATGTGGGACCCGAGCTCGTAGGTGGGCTAACAAATGAAAAGACAAACATGCATACTGAAAAATTCAAATAGATAAGAGACTTGGCCATATTAGAGCATCCAGTCCAAAACTAATTGGCAATGGGTTGAGTGACCCTCAAATATATAAACCATAGTCTTAATTATTCGACATGGGATACAATCTATCTTAACACCCATTTTCACATTAGACCCAGGCTTGCACTTGTGGTAAACAAATAAACAAACAACTTTGTATACCGAGAAATTCAAATAGGTAGGAGACTTGGCCAATCTACCAACCTGGGCCAAGCTCTAATACCATTTTAAAGCATCCAATCCAAAACTATTTGGCAATAGGTGATGGTCTCTCAAGTATATAAACCAAACTTAGTGGTTCTAATTATTTGATGCGGAACACACCCTCTCTTAACTGGCCCAATGACCACCTAAGATTCAATTCTGATATCATGTTGGAGCATCCAACTCAAAACCAATTAACAATTGAGTTTGGAGATGTCTTTCAAACATATGAACCAACTTTGAGTGATCCTAATCATTAGATTTGGAAAACAAGGGTGGGGCTCTTTACATAAAGATCTTCTCTTAGTACATTTGATTCCAAAAAACCACACCAAAGGTCATGAAAATCTTCAATTCTATGGTGTTGAGAGACTCCTCATCTAATTACTATTCATGAACGAACAAGAGTAGATTATTAGATAGCTGAATGGTGACAAAAAGAATTTCAACAACTAGAAGCTATGCAATCAGCCAAATTATCTAGTTGCTCAATTATGAGATTGGGAGTCCATGTTTCTGATATCCCTGGAACATACTTTGCATTATCCACATCTACCTGGATTACAATAAAAACTGTAAAACCAGTTATGCGTCATGTTCGATACAAAATCAATGAAAGGTAATCCAACTATGTAATTAAAAAAAAAACGTAACATAACCAACACAGTAGCTCGGGCATCATATTCCAAAAAAAGGGATCCAATAGAATTGGCAATATTTCTACACTCAACTTTGAATCTGCATCCTCTTTGCGCCCTTGAGTAATGACCTTTGTCACAACAGGTCTACCAATTGTCAGTGTCCCTGTTTTGTCAAACACAATTGTATTCACCATTGAAAACTTTTCTAAAACATTTCCTCCACGCAGAAGCAATCCTTTTGTAGCACCCAGTGAAGTTCCAACCTGGGAAATCAGCAGAATGAAGTAACGGGGATTCCGTCGTAAGTTAAAAAATGGAACTGTACCAATCACTGCTCTTGGAATTTGAATAATGTTCACAAAACATTACCAGCACAGCAGTAGGTGTTGCTAGACCAAGGGCACATGGACATGCAACAACCTGCACTCTTAAAACAAAGGTCAAAGACTGAATCCAAAATAGAAAAAGTGAGAATTTAACACCAACACAGAAGCACATTGGTAAGCAAGCAAAACAATTGAGAGCAAAGACACAGCATAGCAATGCAGAATGTGCAAACAAGAAGAGGGGCAAATCCAGAATTTTGTTTGGTGTATTGGACATCCTATAATCAAATGTAGAACTGAGTGGAATCCTCTGTCATATTGTTGCAGCAGGAACATATCTGACTTCCTTGGAGGAGTTTCTGAAACCTAGTATGCATTTTTAAAGTAAACACACGAGTCATCATACCAGAACACTACAAGAGAGCTGCAAGGCCAATGAAACTGGACTTCCTTGATGAAGAGCGGCTGGTAGAATTCGTGCACCAAAAAGGTTCCAAAACATAAATGTTGCAGCAGAGAGTGTCATTACTCCATAGGTGAAGTGCCCAGCCACCTATTACAACAGAAGCATTTATTTGAAAGATTCAAAGATCCAGCAGAGGGATAAATTAATTCCCCACCAGTAAAGATATCCAACTATAATGGAGGAAACTCTTAAGACACGTGTTGCCCATCTAAACTTATCAGTCTAAAAGTTTCTTTAATGTTGTAGAGAGGAGGCAGCAACAATGAAAAATAAAGCTAAATGCAACCATAACACTTGCAATAATGTAAACCTTTGGTTCTAATGCAATACACATGATCAATTTATATCCCCAGTAACAAAAAAGGATACATGTTGGACTACCTCCTAAATGCTAAGCATCCAGCCAGAATCACCAAAAGATAGCAGATATATACTCTTTTGTAGAGAAGATTTTGCACAATAATGAATTGTAAAAATTATGAGAAGAGACAACCCTAGATCTAATCCGCGCAAAAAGATAGGCAGTTGATCAAAATTTGACACCCAAAAGGTAATTACCACTTATTCTAGCATCGAAATGAAAAATAAACACACTGGGGCACGATATCCACTCTTTGCCATCAGATAACAAGCTCTAATGTAATGAATGCTTGAATTTGGGTAAATCCCCAAAATATTCCTTGTTAAATATTTGATTACCCAGTGCATTACTAGTGCTACTAAATGTCGATAAAATACATAGTAGAAAATTCAAATTTCGATTTATTTATCACAATTTTTTATCACGATCAATTATATGTCAATTTTATTAACAAGCACATTATTAATATTCAAGAATCCTTTATCCCAGTCTTAAGAAGAAAAGATGTTCCGTGATATTTAAGAAGAGTTGAGCTAGTTGACTCTTAACTCTAAATATGGTCAAGCAGAATGTAAATGCAAGGTTATTGGATATGTTTCAGTCAAAACTTATAATCCTGGGTATTGTTTCCTTTTGGAGGTTTTGTGCAGAAATTTTTATGAACTTATCCAAAAAGCTTGCAGTTATTAAAAGGGGTAGAACGTAGAATCTCTTCTAGAGGAAATTTTTGGAGATAAATTAAAATTTGATTTGTAGCTCCCCTCCAGCTGGGATTTTGAAATACAGGAACTGGTAGCTTAATATTTAAAGAGTGAACCGTTAGACACCTTTTCATTCGTCTACCACTGCATTTTGCATGAGAGGATAGCGTTTTTGCTGCTTTTATTGGCAATCTAACGGATTGCAGGAATATTCGTAAGATACAAAAAAATTCACAATCAGTGTCAACTATGGTTGGTGTTAGCCGCTGTTGTTTGCTAAAATGTTGAGCTTACTTGCTTTTTGGATTTCATTAAACTTCGTTATCTCTAGGATTTGCATAATTTCCTCTTTCTACTTACATAATGATAAACATTTTAAGCCTATCTTGTTGTACTTCTAAACTTTTATACAATCAAATCATTCTCCAGATCAATGCATTACTTCATCTCTTTTGCACATGGACATAGCTAAATCACGTTAGACAATTTTTTCTATTTCACACAATTCTCTAAATATAGCTAGCAACATATAACAAAATTAACATAAAACATGACCCTTAAAGGAGCACGATGGCGCTCATGTAACCATCCCCAAAAATGTTGGGACAAAAGGAGCTAGGTACCTGAGTGCACATAGGATGGGTGTGTATGTTATCATAATCTCAGATTGCTTGTTCCAAATAAACGTGTACAACTTGTCCAATCATGTGAAATTAGTTTTAAAAATGTTAAGAGCATCTAACTCAAAACCAATTGGCTATGAGTGGAGAGACCCTCTCACTATATAACTAACTTTGGGTGGTTCTAATTATGCGATGTAAGATACAAGCTCTCTTCACACCCTCCCTCACATAGAACCCGGGCTTGCACATGTAGCTCACAAATTAACATAAAAACATACAAATTGAGAAATGCAAATGGATAAGAGACTTGACCATTGACCACCGACGAGCTGGAATACCACATTCGAACATCCAAGAGATCCTTTCATTATATAAACTAACTTTGGGTGGTACTAATTATTCCATGTGTAATACAAGCTCTCTTCCCAAAAGCATTTTATGAGATGCAACAAAACAACTGTTAGAAGCAGTTGCATGATTATATCATAATCTCGGAGGGATGTACTGTCACCTAACACTAGAACATAATGTCAAACTTAATAAAACCTTCGCAGCATCAAATAAAATAGGTTGTGTCTACTACATGATTACTGGGATCATCAATAATCATGCCAAATTCATGATGGAGTCGAAGTAGCAAAACATAAATATACATGCATTCCCCAAAGATAGTTCAAAATATTGTATGCAATGTTGCAATAGAAGGATTACCGATCACTTGGAACAAAGATTGGGATGGTTGTTCAACTATCTAACACTACACATGATTATATATAAGAAAAATGGAAATCTAAGAATATGAATAGTATGGCAAGAAGTCCTTCACTAAATCACATCCAAAGATAAAATAAATTTAACCTAACATCATAACAAATTTGTTAAATCTAAGAATCAATGCTCTTTATGGCATTTGCAAAAACAGAATTGTTTTAGTTGTAAAATATGATATAAGACCTTGTCTGCCAACCGCTGTACAGGAGCTTCTCTACTCTGTGCTTCTTCCACCAAACGAACAATGTCCCCCATGGCAGTCTCGCCACCTGGTCTTTGCACTTCCACAGTAAGTGTTCCATTTAGATTTATACTTCCTGCTGCAACTTTGGCCTAGTACACAGAAAACAGTCATTGCAAGTGAAGTGCTACAATGGCCTGTCGACCTAAACCCCTCCCACCCCATTCGACCTCCAAAATAAAGAAAAATGAATAAAGAAAAGAGAAAATATCATTTTGAAGTAAAATAACCAATTGCTCTTCAGATTTTAAACTTTTTTACCATAGTTATTAATATCGTATGATATGCGATACGTATCGTACGATACGTCACGATACACCTGAAAAACGATACGTATCGTACATCTGTATCATTTTTACACCGTATCGTACGATACGATAAGCCCGATACGTGACGATTCTGTTTTTTATTTTTAATTTTTTTTTTTTGGGGTTGAAATGACATCGGTTTATCCTATGACTTATTTTTAAATCATTAGCTAATAAAATAACGTCGTTTCAATAGTTATAATTTAAAAATAAATAAATAAAATATGTTGTTAATGTTGTTCAATTGAATTCAAAATTCATAATTATTATTAAGGTTATTCAAGTTTTTGATGTTAAAAGTTTGAATTAGAGGTTTTTGCATTTTGATATTACTAAACTATGTTAGGAACTTGAATAGTTGGTAGAATATTAATGAAATGCTATGTTATTACGAGTCTATGACTTTTTTACAAAGTTATATACATATTTTTTATTAATAATTATTTAAAAATTAAAATTGCACGTATCTTACGATACACGATGCATGATACGATACACAATTTTTAAAAAACGATACGCCTTCCGATACACAATTTGACAACTATACTTTTTACTTATAAAGATTAGTGGTCCATTATCTAAAAAATGCAAACAGTGGATACAATTTAATTTGATAAGATAGTATAATTACCCCAGGTAATTTAGTGACAGGGAGAGGCTCCCCTGTTAAATTAGACTCGTCAACCGTGCTTCTACCGGCTTTGACAATCCCATCAGCTGGAACACGGTCCTACAGAATTAGAAGAGCATGTGTCAAAAGATCAAGTAATATGCTCTAGTATTCTAATTGAATGTGCGCTGTAGTTGGCAGCAGAAAGAACCTACTATTGTAGCCCAAATGACGACAGAACAGGAATTATTGGCAAAGAAGCTAAAAATTGGAAGCCTATGAGAAATTCCATTGAAGAAGAACAAAAAAGATCTAAAAGTACAAGGTAAACCCCGAAAAACAGAGTACATTTTACTTACTCCAGGTACTATAATGACTTCATCTCCTACAGAAAGAGAGCTACAAGGAACTTCGACAGTTGAGCTTGACTCATCTGCATTACTGTTGACCACTAGACGAGCTTTAGATGGCAAAATATTAAGAAGTCCAGTCATGTCACTGGTGGCTTTAATTTTAGCTCTTTGTTCAAGATTTCTCCCTAACAAGACAAATGCAATCAGCATAACTGGTTCCTCAAAGAATGCTTTCCAACCCTGCATGGTAAACAATTCCCTTCAATAAAATGATTGAGCGACTTTCAGTCATATGTGCCTACTTCCAGTACCAGCTACATCTATATCTATACTAATAATAAAAGTACACTATCAAGAAAACTTTTGATTGACTACTTTTGCCCTGAAATAATATATAAAGACAATACTAGCCTTATTTAATTTAGAACTCATATTAATAAGACTTGATTGATGTTAAACTTTTAATTGGACAACTTTCCTCTCACAATACTAACATTATTAATATGGAATTCCTATCAATAAAACTTCATTACTATTACACATATCCAAGCCTTTCATATTCTTTATTAATTATTACGCATATCCAAGCCTTTCGTATTCTTTCTTTAAAAGACAAGAATTAATTGTTAAAATAATTAAATTTACTTTTATTTATGTCTATCATTTTCATTAATTGATGACAAACTCCTGAATTTTCAAATGAAATTGCATAAATACACTAGAGTCTTATTTAATATAATATTTATTTTAATATAATTTAGATAATATTATCAAACCCTAACTTTTTTTTTTTCTCTTTTATGTTTTAGTTTTAATAAATCTTCTTTAGTTATGTTCTTTGGCAATACTAGAAATCATTTTATTTGTATCGATTAACAATGTTACGAATATGTTTAGTCTCACATTAAATTACTTATCACAACTTAGCTTTTTAAATTTGTTTAACCAATTGTTTATAATTAAATGACCACCATAACTTAAATTAGTAAGCTTCCATATTTTTCATAATTTAATAAATGTCTGCGATACTTTTTAGTTATATTATATATACCCACATACTATAAAATATATTTGTACTAGTACTATGATGTTGCAAATAAAATTAATCTATAATTAACTTCATGTGAAAAGTTCTAAATTTTAAGGGTACAGGTTTACGAGGTAATTCATAAAAACTTAAGAGAAAAAACATAAAAAAAACTAATATTCGTTTTGCAAATATGTAGTGTTATGTCTATTACAAATTACACAAATTATATAATAGGAATATTCAAAATGTTATATTTATAAGTAGGTATTTGATATTATATTTATTTAATTATTTCAAAAACAAAACCATGTGCAAGGCACATGTGCAAGATCTAGTCTTCAAAGAAAGATGAATTTGTAGTAAACTAAATCACCAAAGAATACTTTTCTGGAGGGTTACAAAACACAAATTCAAAAAAATAAAACGAAATTAAACAATATATGTCTCAGCAAATGGAATTCCAGTGACAAGATACAGCAAACATATTGCATTAACATTAATTGAAGACATCATGTCACTGTAATGTATCTTATGGCACAAACATAAGACTAGATTGAGCAACTAGGAAAAACTCCAAAACAAACTAACACTTTCTTTTGGTGAATTAATAAATATAAATCACAGAACAATATTCCCAATCTAATCGAGTATACAAGCACTGATATAAGTCATATTTCAGAATCTGACAAAATCAAACATCATTTATATCATCTTGAATCACCAAAGAGAGGTAGGGCAAACCACTATGGCATAAACTTGGTTAGAAAAACACGAGAAGAATCAAACAACCCTGCAGCCCCTTAGAGCACGGGTCCATACAAAAACTAATTAGCAAAACATCAGTTGGTTAAAAGGGAAAGGACTTGAACAAAGATTACACAGCCATTTCTAATCAGGATTACCAATAACACGAAACATTGCAGATAATTTTGGTAGACTTTTTTGTTAAAAAGATTAAAAAGTAACAGTGCATCAATAAACACAAAAATAAATGCAACAAAATCGTGTAAAAGCCAGGTAGTCACTAGTTACCAGTTTGGGTAATAAGGTAGCCAGTGAGCTGACAGCAAATGATGATAAAGCACCAAGACCAACTAGAGTATTCATGTTTGGAGCCCCCTTAATAAGGCTTTTAAGACCATCAACAATTAGTCGGCGTCCAGGACCAAGCAACGTAAATAAAGAGAGGGACATATGAAACCCCGTGGAGTGAAATGCATGGATCCATGAAAACTTGGGTCCAAAAAAATGAGAGAAGTGGCCCAAGAGGCATACAGCACATAGAGCCCAGGAAACAACAAGCCCGCGACCTGTTAAAAAAGTGAGTTTTTTGTTGCACTGCTTATCAGATTTGTAATCAGCACACCAGCACTGACTGAACTCTTATAGAGAAAGCCCAACAAAAATTTATATACAAATGGAGATTTCAAACTTTTTTTATAATGATAGAGGAATGAAAACGTATGTACCACTTTCCTTTAACAGTCTACGTTTTTCATCCATTTTCCTTTCAAATGTTTCAAAGAAATTCTCCCTTCCGGAATCTGCAAATAACCAAGCACCCAAGTCAATCTTCTACAGACTGCAACCATGAAGAGTATTGAGAACGGACTGAAGTTTACACTATTTGAATCCTTCCAAGGATATAAAATCTATGCTTACATCAAAATCTAGTAGCTCTCAAATATTGAATTAATGAGTGAAAGTTCAAGGAAATTAAAAACAGAAAATAAGAGCGTCAACAGATACCAAAGACATGGAATTTAATTACAGATGTTTATGGTAGTTTGAGGAGTATAATAATGATCTCAGACCACAAGTTTACTTATGCAAGAATATGAGTTCAAGGAAGCTAAAAACAGAACATAAGGGCATGAACATTATGGTAGTTTGAGGGGTATAATAATGATCAACCCACAAGTTAACTTATGCGAGAATGAGTTCCCAGCATTTCTTGCACGAGATATATACTTATTTTGAAACAAATGGTTTTACAAATACAGCCACTAGTGTAAAGCCCAACAAATGATAAAGCACAGGCCAGTGATTAAGACTAGAGGACAAAACATATGTAATAACCATATGAATTCAATGACAAAGGGAGAAAAGAGAAATGAATCTTGACTATTAAAGCAAGAAAACAACAGAATCACAAATACTTATGCTAACTTACTTGCTAAATGGAGAATTCACTCCATGAGGTAGTACAATATGTAGACTGCCTTCACACTTAGTGCTCTTGTACAACAGTTCTGTGCCTTCTTTACCAAACTTCCCTCTGGAGTAGCAGATCCCAGAGGGCAATTCAGGACTCGAAGTAGAACATTTGACCAATGGGTTGGTTCGGACCTTCAGTCATAAATTTTTGGCTTGATCAAGTTATTGAATGGGTCTGGACTAAGAAAAATTGGCCCATGAGCAAACCCGACCTAGTCCTACATATTCTTTTTATCAAATCTGTTACGTTTATGGGCTTAAGGTACTATTGTTTCATTTTAAAGCATAAGAAATTATACAACTCTATATCATTAGCTACTATGGACAATCTCAAAGTCTCGAATCATTACATTTATGATGAAAAAACATGTTATTTATGTTCTTCTAGATGTTTTAAATATTTTAAATTTATTCAACACAAATAAATAAAATTTAGTGGGATGGTTTGCATGTATCTACGCTACAAGATTGGCTCAAGGGCTTGGCTAGGGCAAGGTACATCTGGCCCATTCAATATTGCTTGCCTCATGCACAAACTCCTCTAGCCAATTCTTCTCCTCACTCAACTCTATACTTCTGGACTACATGTTTACAGCTCTACTCCATAAACCATCTCCTTTAAAAATAAATCTCCAATGTCATTTCCGCAGGGAAGCTTGATTCATCAGTACCAATGAACAATGCTTAGTGCCCTTAATCTCAATCTCAGGATACTATCAAGACGCTTCATACTGCAAAGCTAATCTCAGAATCTTTTTGAAAATTTCCAGCTAACAAATATGTTTAATTGTAAGGAAAAGGACTGACAAAAGAGTGTAGTGAATTGAACAGAAGAATAGAGCAAATCAGTGAGAACAGGAGATTTCGAAGAATTTCAAAGGCATAAATACAGGTAAATAACAATTTTGTAAACGTAGAAGTTTATATTATATTTTGCATAGTTTCTCGGTCAACTAATTATTCCAGACAACGAGACCTTTGTAGGACAATGGGGAATACAAAACCTCAGACAGAAGTACATACTGAATGTTCCTTCAGATATGAGAAAATTTGAAAAAAGGAGAAGGAAAAATTCAATTAGACAGTTGTTCAACCCGTACAGCCATTGTAACTGCCCATTGTCATGGGACATGAAAATTGATACATTAATCGTTTTAAAGGATGGAAGTCCTCAATCAACTGATGTTACTGAACAATTTCCTTTAACAACTCAGGTCGCACAACAGTAGGTTATCCAAAACGCTTGGGCTTTCCGGTCATAGATATGCCTCCTTCCACCAAATCCACCACTAGTAGCTGCCAGACTCACCTATTGAGGGAGAAACTATACCATTAAACATGACTTTTGAACCTATCTTTAGAGAAGTGGAAAAAAAACTAAAAGTTACTGCTCATGAAGAAGCAGGTGAAATTAAAAACCCAAAGTAACAGGGACATACCATAAAGGAGTATGGTTGCTCCTACAAGAAATCCTTTGCATTCTATGACAGAATATCTCCTTCAATAGCTTCCTGACCTGCCAATTATCCACCAAGCTCCACATAAGTCGAAAGATAGCCTGAATATATTGTAGTGTCTCCTCCCACTTACAATTTGAATGGATGCTTGATGGATTACTAATTGGATAGGGACATATTTCTAAGTCATTTTTAGCGGAAAGATACATCGATTTATATATTTTTTTGTACGATATATAAAGGTGATGGTTATCTCCAGAAAATTTAAAATATAGTAAGCAGGAATAATAATATCTCCATCTGTTACTTAGATTTTTCCCTTCTATCTTGCTTCATGAAACTATAAGCTAACTTCCAATCTTTTGAAAAAAGATGAAGCTTGGCCACCTAATTGCCTCTCAATGTTGTCTTGGGTAAATTTTCTTCCTTTTTTTCTTTTTTTGGGTTTATTTTCTGTTTGTAATTTACAGTTTGTGGGACTCATGCTCCAGGATACTCAAGCATCCTATTGCTTTGTACCTTAGTTTTATCTACTAATATCTAAAAAAACTAATCATGTTTTACACAGGCCGGGAGTGCATACTATGCAAGGAGTCTTGTAATACAACCTTTCGCAGATCTGTTCTGTATCTTGATCCTCGTCAAAAAATCTAAATTAAAAAGGAAAAGAGAAAAAGAAAGACACTACATCCGGACTGCCATCACCCTAAATTTCCCTCAAGAAATAACAATTCTAAGAGTCTTGTGGTAACATATGCACATTTGAAAAGTTCCATAAGAGTGTAACTAACTAGCTACATCTATAAATCATAACTCATGATTGTAGTAGCATGTTTTCCAGATGGTATCAACATTCACAAACCCAAAAAAAAAAAGAATCATTTCCCACTCCATCTCCATCACGGAGGGTGTTGGGAAAGATGGTGAACGATGGTAATAATTGTATAAATATTTATATAAAGAGTCGGCAAGGAAAATTAAAATGCACTGGGTAGAACACTCACCTCGAAGGTTAGACTTAAACCCACAAGTAGTCAAATGCTTCGCAAGTTCCTCCCCCAACTCTTTTTGCCAGTTTGGTGCAACCTTCACTTCAGATACAGGCCATACAATTGCTGTCTCTGTTGTAAGATTGACACTAGCAGAAGACACATGTGGCTGTCCATATATATTGTGAGTCTCAGATAATTTATCCACAGTATAAGTGAAAAGATTCAACCAAAAATTACAATAAATACAATGCATTAGCAGCTACAAATAATTCATCCATATCTTCCAGCTCCAATAGTTTTCCCACTAACATTGAAGCCCTATAAGGTGTCATTCTATGAGTAATATCGTTTCATTGAGAATATAGAATCATGAGGACCAGTTACGCTAGTTTTGACCGAGAGTAAAACTTTGAATCCTGATTATATCTCCACTTAGTTTTTCTTCACAAAAAAACTCAAAAAATCTGAGCTATGGCAAATTACTCATTTGAATCCCCCAAAAATGAAAACGTTTATAAAAGCATAATCTTTTTCTTTTTGTTTCATGATTCCTTTATTAAACCCCATGTATTCAGTGCACTTGCAAGGGATGGCCATAAAAAGCCTTATATGGAATTGGGAAAAAGATAGTACACTTTTGAACTGACTTTTCCTCCATTCCAATACCCAAATTTCATGCTGCCAAACAAAACTTTTCAAGTTTCTTGAATATATTAAAAGATTGTTTCCAGAACAACAATTACATGGATAATGAAGCAGCGTTCACAAATACAACATGAACAGAATACGTACTTGACTTTCTAAAATCCTCTTCACACTCGCGGCACACCCCCCACATGTCATCCCCTGCCATTTCAGAGAGATTTTGATGAAATTCAAAACACGAAACCCAAAAAAATACAAGAAAAGACGGAATTTACATAGAGAACTGAAATTAAACATTGCACGAAAAAAGTTCACATATCACACACATAGGGAGACGGAGAGTGAGAGAGCGGTTGCTTACTCCAACATCAAGAATTATCACATCAGAAGACAAAGCGGAAACATCCTCAGCCCCTCTCACACCCAAATTCACCTTCACCTCTCCACTTTCTGCCGCACCACCACCACCACCACCACCTCCATTACCATCACTACCACTCCCATCAATCCCTCCGCCGCCACTGGCAAACGAAGCAGCAGAGCTCGAAACACACTCCAACCGGCTTTTCATCGGCCTCAAATCCACCCCACCCAAACTCCTCAATGTACTCGAAGAGATCGAACCGAACTTGTTCGATCCGTGACACTGAAACAGCGAGTTGCTGTTGCGTAGCAGGCGTCTGAACTGGAGAGTTTCGAGTTGAGTCCGAAGACAGTTACTCGACCGATTCGTGGAGAAACGGCGGTGCAGCTGAGACACGAAGGTGCTGGAATTGGGATTTAGGGTTTTGGTTATGGCCAACAGAGACATTGTTGTTGTGGTTGCAGACAATGTTGACTCCATGGGAGAGAGAGCTTCTTGTTTCAGAGAACAAAACTTGATTCACTGCTCACTCACTCTCTCTCGCTCTCTAAACGCAACTTTCTCTCTCTATCTTCAGCGTTTCCCAATCGCCTTTCGATTCTCAGCAGCTAACGGATGGGAAGCAATAAATATTGAAGCTGGATTACAATATTCGTCATTAAATACACGTGCGGTGCCATTTTAATAATAAATTAATAATATACCCTGTTCGTAGAATTACAGAGACCACCCCTATAATTTGAATTTAATTACAAAAAATATCACTAAACTTCTGAAAATAATTCGAACTTGGTAATATAAAATGATTGAATGATTGAAAAATGAGATTTATTCAAGAAAGTCCATTGAAAACCTAAACTCGTTATGGGATTGCAGTACAAATTGATATGAGGAGATCCTTCTGCCAATAAAGATTGCTTCCAATAATTGGAAAATATTATATACAAAAAACATTATTTTCATTCCTAACATTATTTATTTATTATTTATTTTAAAACTTTATCATGGTTATTTTTAGTAATTCCCCGTGCCTAAAGGCACAAAATAATAAAAAAAATTGACATGATAAAATTTGAACAATAGCAACTCGATAAACTACTAAGGGTAGTGATTAATTGATAGCGCCTTTTCGATTATGTAGCTAATGGTGTAAAGAGGAGTAGGTGATGAATTTTCGATCTATCATTTAATTGAGAAATCCAACAATTTTGACAAATTATTCAAACTTTGATTCGAACACACGTATTGGCAATTCTTAAAATGGATCCAAATGGACTCAATTTCATTTCTCCTCGGCTCTCTCACTCTCATTTAAACACTAGTTTGCGAAGCCAACCACCAAATCATCAACTCTTGGAATAATTCAATAGTCAAGTATGTCTCTAAAATTTGATATTTCTCATATTTCTTAAAGATCGGCTATCCTTGGTTTTTTGGAAACATGTACTTAAACAAGTTCGAGTTAGATGGCTGACTTAGAACTTGAAAGAGTAATTGACGCAAACCTAAACACCTTGTAACAAAAAAAAATGACCGCTATCATCGTCTCCTCTCTCTTCCTCATATTGGCTCCCCCTTCATTCCTTATCTCTCAATGATGTCCTCTTAGGTATGTGGTTAGTGTTTTCATAAGCTTTTTTTTTTTTAATTTTATATTCAACAAGGGCAAAATGGGTAATTTATTGATGTCATGATCAGATGTAGTTGTCTTCAACTGTTTGTTAGAGCAACTCCAACTCTGCTAGTCATTCTCTCATTTTAGCTATTTTGACAAGTAACTCCCAAAAAAACAGCTTCAACCTACTAGTTATCCTCCTCACCAAAATCTAGGAGGTCTTCGTTACTCGCCAGATATGGAGAGGTCTTCATTGCTCGCCACTCGTTGCTGGTCCTTGCTGCTGTGTTCAAGTATTCATCTCCCCCTCTCAACTATTTTACTGCCAAAAATCCTTCCTCTCTCCACTGTTTTGCTGCCAAAAACTCCTCCCCCTCCCCACTTATTTGCTCAAGGATTTGCTGCCAAAAATCAAACCTAAACCCAAAAACTCACTAATAAAAAACTCTTTAATTTCATCAAACATCAAACAAACCCCATATTCAATTTAGTGGGTGAACCAATTTGTGTAAAGTGAATTTTGCACCGAAATTAATACGACATCTAAATCAATTTGAAGTATCGCAGCATAGTTGTATGGTTGGCTTTCACAAACAGTGGCGAATACAAAATGGTGGGAGTAAATTTTCTTCCCTTGTTCTTGTATTCTTCCTTTTTCTATCTCCTATTTCTACAGTAAATTTTCTATTAAGAAAAACTTTAGTGATTCTGGTGGAAATTTCTAAAAGAATTTGCTGTGAATTTTTTCTAATGTTGATTTTCATGTAACTTTTCTACTGAATTTTCAAAAACTTTTATATTGAATTACTGAAAATAGATGTTGAAATTTTTTATTTTAAAGTTTTACTGAATTTTTTTTATCATATTCTAGGTGGGATTTTAGGATTGAATTTAATTTTCTAGTAAAGATGTTTTGGATTTATGTTGTGTCGTGCCTTTGTTCAAGGTGCTGTTAATGGTTTTTACTTTTTACACAAGTAGTTGAAGATTGGGTGTGGTATTAATAACTAGGGGAGCAGTTGTTTGTCAATAACTTGGGGTGCTGATCACGAAAATTGCAATTATGTTACCCTAATTGTAATTTATTACTTTTGGTATTTGGTTAGTTATAAAAAAAATCACTGAGATGTGAGAGGTTCTGGTGTCATTATAGTTTCCCTTATTTCAGAGGGAAAAATGATGGCAATAGATCTTTGATCGATGACTCCCTTATTTTGTTGAAAACCTGTAAACTTAGTGCTTTGGTAAGGACTTATTGGGCCCTTGGTGTAGTTATGAACTAATCTTTGTTGTGGTTACTACCTTGTTAAGTTAATTTGGATTGAATTACATGAATAATGTATGTTTTTGGATTGAATTTTAGGCATTACATATGGAACCATTTGAACATGGATATTACTTCATTAATCTCTTGAATAACAGAACAAACTTAGATGAGCTTAATGATGAATCAGTAGATCAAATAGGTCATTCACCTCAAATAGAATTCACCACCAAAAAGGTTCGAGGTGACAACTTTATAGTTGAGAAGGACTTAGTTTTAATCTCGACTTCGCTTAATATTAGCGTAGATGTCGTGCATGGAAATGATCAAAAATCTAAAACATATCGGCAAAGGGTTTGAGAGTACTTCAACGAATACAAACCCAAGTGAAATTGTAATCACAATCTTCTTTGATGAATCATTGGTCGTCAATTCAACTAGTCACCAATAAATTTTGTGAATGTTTTGACTAAATTCAAAAGTTGAGTCAAAGTGGTATAACTGAAAAAGACAAAGTATGAGTGTATTTTTAATTACAAGTGTAAAAATATGACATTTTTCATTTATGATACATAATATTTTTGTACATTTTTTAGATCTGTGATGCAAAGAAGGTGTACAAGAAACTGCATAAATGCTCTTTTTCATTTGAACATTGTTGGAATGAGTTATGGTATCAACCAAAATAGATGAAGGATTTTCAGTCTAAGAAGTAAAAAACAAAAAGTGGTGCAATTCCTAGCAACTTTAACCCTTCAATACTAGAATCGGTAAGCAAATGAGACGACAGTGGTTCATATGGGGGCTTGGAGAGGCCAACTGGAAGGATAACTGTAAAAGAGCGAGCAAAAAAGTCAAAGAGCAAATTCCCTGAAGGCGATAATTCAAGTTCAACCTATTTCGTGAATCTATTCGAAAATTCAAGGAAGGGGAAAAGATGTTGACGATGAAGAAAGTCGAATTCATGGAAATACCATATCTTTAAGAGTAAGGGAGACTAGCTCGTGATAAAGAGAAGATACAACTCAAGTAATTGAAAGAGGAAGAGAGAATAATATTGATGGACACAAGTGTCATGTTTCTGATTCTAGCTGAATATTTTAAGCACCGTCAGATAGAAATCATGAAAAAAAAAATGTATTTTTTTTTTATTCATAGAGTAACAACTTTTGAATAGTAGTACAAGAAACAAGTAATCTAATATTATGCAAGCTTAAATATTCATAGACAATGAATGTTTAAATATTCATAGAAAATTCGTAACATATTACTGCATAAAATATTTCATAAAAATATGACCGTTGTAAAATTTAAATTTTGAAAACTTGATGACGTGGCACGACACATCATCATGCTCTATCATCATTATGGCACGACACATCATCATACTCTATCATCATTATGGCACTTACGTGTTACGCCACGTGACATTTTTGAATTATATTATTGAAAGTTAGTTAAATTTAATTGAAATAGTTAGTTAAAATAGAAAACATAATTAGAGTGAATTTTAAAAAGTGACTAATTAAATTAGAGAACACAATATTTAAATATATTTTAAATAACTATTTTGATGCTCTTAAAATAGAGTTCTCTTTGAAATTGAACACAATCCCCTAAACATCCTCACCCCCAAACAAAAACTAAAAAATAAAGAAAAGGGAATTCAACACAATCAAAGGGAGTGTAGTATAATTTTTGAGAACACGAAGGTATCTGTTGAAATTATTCCAACAACCTATGGAGATTGTGGTATGAATTATCTCTTTTATTTTTGTGAGTAATCATCAACTCCTTATTTTTGACAAACATATTAAACCCCAAAAATAGTCTTAATAGATACATTATAAATTTAGATATTTTAAATTTAAAAAATAGTAATTTTTTAGGATTAGATAATGAAAATTTATCTCTCGCTAATATTTTAAGCCTCGTGCGAATGGTATATTTTTGACTAGATCGGATAATAAATTAATTGAGGTATACGGAAATAATCTCATAAATCCTGACCATAATACACAAAACAAGAAGAAAAAAAGAGACAAAACATGTTTGGCATGCCGAGGCTGCGGTAGTTGCGTGGTAGGTAAAACGCCACTTTCAAAACTTAATTGCAATTAGACCCCACAAGAATTTTTAATAAATGCAAAAGTGATACTGACACCTTTTAACAGCAAGGTTTGTGGAAATTAGAGCAACGAAACTTAATTTATTAAAGAAAAAATGTTGACAAGTCACAGGTAAGCTATTTGTTTTTTGAACTAATTAATCTCATCTCGAGGCATAAAGTATATAGATTAAAGACGAGGGGCTCATTAGCAAATTCCACATATGGGTTGTGAGATGGAGAATAGTTAATGAAATTTACATTAACAACCATGTTAATTTGATTTAATTTGCTGACATAATCGCTTATAATCATTAATTGACAATGAGTCCCAATATTTATTAGGATCCGCTGCCAATTCAATAATTATGATTGATTAAATCAGCAAATTAGGTGCCAACAATATTATTATTACTGGAATTAGAGAGGGACCAACAAGAAATTCGACTTGCTTTTTTTAAATACTAAAAATTCTAGAACACGTTTTGCAAGTATAATATTTTTTGAAATTTTTTTAATTTATTTTTTTCGATTTTAAGTTAGAAAAATAACATGATTGAAATATACAAAGTTTAAGCATTTTTTGTCGTTTTTCCGTTTTTGTAATCACACAGGCTTTTATATTATGAGTCGTGTTAAGTATAATTAATTGGGACATCAAGCTATTAAGTTTGATTTCTCCCTCAAATTAAAGCATCTTATCATCAAAAAATATTAGGAATAAGAACGATTATCTATCGGTTGACGCGAATAGTCATTAAAATCTATCGGCTATAATATAAATTAGTGTTTATTGCTGAATAATCACTTGTTATATATTTAAAACTTTCTTTTTCTCAATAAGCGAGATTATATCACCATTAATCTAATAATTTTAAATTCTAAGTTCCATCAATTTTAAATGGTTCCCTATGTATAGGTGGAAGCCTACTTGAGGGGGTCTACTTGGATTGAGCATGAATGATTGATCTTGAATGGGACAAATTGAGGAAATCTTGTATCAAAGTTGGTCTCGATCCTCTTGCATTTCATAAAGAAGGATATACCAACTACTTTTGGTGGCTTTTTATTTGCTTTGTTGTTCTATTTTTTTGGATGACTTGTATTCATTTTCTTTGAAATTTGGTCAAATAACAACGAGACCTCTTCGCATATAAAAAATTACATTACAATTCCCTTTATTTTGGTTATCGGTAACAAATTCTACCAATTATCAGTTTGCAGTCAAAAAATTGTTAATGTAAGGAACTCATTTTTTAAAAATACCAATATTACCCTTATCATGGTTAAATTTAACTTATACTTGCAGTCAAACCAATCATATCCACAAATATTGGTAGCTAAACCTTATTTCCAAACAGTGGAGGTGGGGTTGAGTTGGAGTGGGTTGTGTATTTTTTTGTGTGATTGAATATTAGGTTGTCACGTAATTAAGTTTGTTTCCAAACTAAATTTGAGTTTTAGCACAAAATTAAATAAATTATAGGAATTAACTTCAATTTTGAGATAATTAATCTAGTTAATTAAATTGATTTAGATTTGATTCAAATTTGTGATAAATTTGAGTTAATTAACAAAGTTAATCAAATTTGGTACGAATTATGGATAAAATTAATTAAATTAATTAAATATGATTTTCAAAATAAATATTAATTCCTCCGTTCCTAAATATTTGTCGTTTAAGGTTTTTGCACAGGGATTAAGGAAGTTATTAAATAACTTTAATATGAGTAAAAAATAATTACACAAAACTAAAATACCCTTATTCAATACATATTGGAAAGAAAAAGAATATGAAAAGCACTTAACCTTTATCTAATCTAATGCATTGAAAAGTTAAGGGTAAATTTGAAAGAAAAAATATTAATTATGCTTTGATTTCATTAAACGACAAGTATTATGAAATAAAAAAAATTGTGTAAAACGACCGATATTTAGAAACGGAGGGAGTATTGAATAAATAAATTTATTATATTTGGTTCGAGTTTTGTAACAAAATTTGTGGAATAAATAAAATTCTGTTTTCATTTGGGATAAATTCTATTATATTTAATTAAGCAATTTTTTCCTTTAATTCTATTATATCAGTGTGCTAATTTGCTATTGGATGTTGTAAAATTAACTAAAGGTTAATAAGTAGAGAATCTTTTCGGGATGTGGGCATTATAGTCATTTTTGTATTGCTGTTAGAAATACAGAATGATCGTCACCGACAGGGGAGGTCAATATTATTTTCCAAACAAGGAAAGTCTAGCTGTTATTTGATCAAACCTCAGGAGAGGTGGATGTAATTTACCCTTTTTTTTTTTTTTTTAAAAGAATGAAGGTCGGAGTAACTTGCATACTAGCACTTCAACTGGACCATTGTCAAGTAGCTCAGCCATTGCCATATTGGTTATGATGTGTTGCTTCTTTGCTACATTTGGATGTTCACCGGGACCTCTAACTTGGCTCGTACCGGGCGAGAGACCCACTGAAATCCGGCCAGTTGGCCAAGGCATATGTGTCGCCGTCAATTTCATCATCACCTTTGTTCTCTCTCAGATCTCCCTCACCATGCTTTGCCACCTCAAGTATGGCATTTTTTTGCTCTATGCTGGCTTGACGTTGGTGATGACCATCGTCGTGGCTTACTTCGTGCCAGAGACGATAGGGATTCCTCTGAAGTCCATGAATGCAGTTTGGAAACAGCATTGGTATTGGCATCGATTTGTCCAATAGATTTTGCTTTTTAACAACCACGAACTGTCCTAACCATGGGTTTTTTTGACTCGCGGACCACAATCACTCATAAGCAACCAGCATTGAATCAACCAAGTCCTCTTTGTGAAACTCAAAACAAGAGACGCCGAGGTATTATACACAAAAGCATTGTGTACGGAAACATAATTCATGTAATCCAAATGATTTCATAGAATGTAGGCTCTTTAGGAAATGAGGACCCTGTTATCCTACGCGTAGAAAACCAATCATCTTGGACTAACTCAACCCGTATGGAATCATTCACTACTAGTTCAGACAAGATGTAAATCCACACATTCTAAGTTCGAGGCCACATAATAGTTCAGATAAAATGTAACCCAGGTTTTCGATGTGATGCACCATATATACTGAGTCATTGTTCCAATGGGCTTTCAGAATGCGAACACTTCAGCTTTGCCGTTAACCCCAAAGCAGCAATCTGGAAACTACTATTGACCAATCCCTCGGGTAACAAGCTACAGATAATAGGTGGGTTTGAGGCCCAAACGCAAAATGGGTTAAATACTCTTCAAAGGCAATTTTGACCCAACGCTCGAAATTGGTTACCACTCTTCAAAGGTTAAATCAGAACAGAGAATGATCATGAACACTTATGTCTAGGCAACAGACGGCTTCCGCTGCAAGCGCAGATTACATATGGGTAGATAATGGCTCTCCAGAATACACATAAAGAGAGCAATTTTGATAATCGTAGCACATTTCTGCAACAAGTGAGTGTTCAGGGAAGACTCACCTTGTAGTAGGAGTTCCTTACGGGCTGAAGTGATTGCAGCAGAGCTTTGTCAACAATTTGCCAGTGCCTATTGAACAGAGGTCATTGCACTACCTGAACAATGAACATGCCAATACAAGTGAGCCTGTCAAAAAAAACGTGTAAAAAAGTGATTGTTTCCAGCAATCTTTTGTTATTCAAGGCATTGTCTAAGAACAACGCAAAAGACGCAATAACTACCCATGCATGGTAAAGAACTTTGCTCATTCTCAACTTACAGGGACGAACCAAACAAAACTCAAGTGCAGTGCAAAAATAAAGCATCCCTCTTACTTTCTCAATTTTTATTGCCAAAGCAAATAGCAAGAAATTATATGATCAAACACCAATGCTTCTACATTTGCGTAAATCATGAACTGCAATATTAAACCACCATTCGCAACTCAATATTAAACGGCATTCCTGGGAATATACAGTAGGCACACATCAAACAAATCTCTAAAGACCTCTCCATTGGCAGATAAAAACTTATTAATGGTAACTAAGAGGAGCTGGTGCTTCCCTCAATTCCTTGCCCTGGAAATGAAGATCCTGCACAAAAGAACAATACCATTTCAATAACATCATCTGAGCCGAAACACAAGCCTCAGAATTAGAATCACTGAATCAGAATTTATCGTACACCAAATAAGATAAATAATGACAAATAAGAAGTGGTGCACTAATTGAAAATAGAGTGAGGGAAAGTCTACCAATGCAACAGCATGGAGGAGTCATGGGCTCCAAGTTCAATATGGTAGACAGACAAAATGAATGCTAAAATGGACGGAACTTGAGGCCAAAACAAAATAACACAATTGCCTTGGATTAAACTGACAACATGACTTTACAATATGTTGTGGTGAAGAAAGGTCCACGACAACTGGCCCAAGTAGTTGGAATTAAGGCTTATTCAGTTTGTGTATTTGTATGTGCTTCTTTTCCCCCTTTCTGGGAACTTGTAAGGTTGTGTTTCATTATTCGACGTTGTTAGTTTATTTATGTTCTCATTGGACATGAGTTCTAAGTAAAAGACAGATGCAGTTGCTCCCCTGCTCACAAAACTGGGGAACAACAGAAAGGCTGGATATAGAATGAAATATCCAACTCAATATTTCAGGGGAAAAAATAGCACACAGTGAATATGAAGAAAGCAGAAGATGAAGACAATAAGAAGAAACCTAATGAAGAAGGCTAATGCCACTCACAGAAGCGAAATGGTTGACATCTCGATGGTGAGCTTCATCAGCACGGACGACAGTTATGACATCCTTCAAGGTTGCATCTTTGGGCAACCTCCAGTAGTCTATCGCAATAGCAGGAGCTGGTACATTCTCAATTGCACCGCTATCAATATCTTGCAGGTACTCCGTATATGAATGAATTGCCTCCTCCTCCAGATAACCAACAATTCTATGTGCCAGTTTTGGGGAGAGCAGGTACAGAACAAAGAAGGAATTAAAAAAGACTCCCTGCACAGTGAGAACCAGTAGCCTCTCATACCATTTGGGTTTCACAAGCTCCACCATAGTCATCAGGTGCATCCTCTCATTCTCAGCTTCTTCAAGCAATGCTTTGATCCAACCACCACTCTGCTGAAACTTCCGCAGAGACCTAAGGTGCAGCAGCATCCCTCCCACCATACCAGGAACAGCTGCCACAGTTTCCAGCATCATTGCACGACATCCATACCGACGCTGAAACATAGGAATCTGTTAGTCACATGGCTAAGAAGATGGCAGAAAGAATGACAAACTAACATACTCCTCTTTCCAAGGATCCATATCAAATCCCAGAACCAGTAGAATAGCAGCATGAATAATTTAATAGTTAGCATAGTAAATTTTAGAATGTCTAACCACACAGTTGTCCTAAATAAGAAATGAATAAACAATTATTGTTAATACTTCAGGTACTATACATTTGACAAACCATTCTCACAGCAATCAAGGAGACAACGTCATATAACTTTTATCTGACTTATCTCCATTAGTAAAATTAACCTATTAAGAACACAGACACGTGTACAAAAAAATCAACAAACTAAGCACTACATCAAACTCAACCTTTGGAACTCCCAAGCAGAATATTGCCACATAGCCATCTAGCAGGCTGCATGAGTGGGAAGTAACTTATCATGATAGGAAGCATTTTCAGAGAAAGTACCAATATCTTAACTTGCACTGGTTTTCAGATAAATGATTTGGGAAGTTCCTATTAGTCAAAGGCACTGCATCCATATTGAGATCTTCTCCATCTCAGGAATTTCATCTAAAATCCTTTCTTTCTGAATTTCTACCGTGTTAGAATACCACAGCTACTTTGTGCACATTATACCTAGGTTTGTACCCAATCTTCCCCTCCTAGATCCCCATTAACGGGGACTGTTACTTTCTTCTTAGAATGCCTTGAATCTGCTCCAGGGAAACATTAAAAATTCAACATTGGCAATAAATTTCTATCATGGTAGCGTAGGATATGAGAATGAAAAAAATCCCATTCTATTATCCATAAAGGCCTCCAGCTACAAAACAAGACGTCATTTTCCCTATGTTTTAGCATATGACCATCATCGAAAGACAAACTCAAATGCACAAAAAAAAAATTCAATGACAGTAATCTTCAGCTTTCAACAAAACATTCTACTGGAACAGGTTAGAGAATTAAGAAGATGACGTACCTGGAAAAATATATCTGTAGGTATTCTAAGGAGTTTCACTGTCCTGTAAGCAAATTTATCAGTAAAATTCTTTGGCACATGGTGCTTTTTCAGGTCTATTGACAAGTCTGACTGATAAGTTTCCCATGGCTGCAAGAAAAGGAAAGTTATGAGGAAAAACTAATCACAGAGTCCAGATTAGGTATTTTTTCCAGTGAGATAAACAAGAAAAACAAAAAAAGATGAGCAAACATTTTGAATGAAAGGTTGCATCTTAAACAGATTGCTGGCCACATCATCTTTTGAAATTTCAATAATCATCCCAAAATATGCAACTAACCATAGGCTTAAAATTGTGATCTACATGCATATTTCAATAAGCAATAGCCTGTGAAGTCAACTGAACTTCCTCTTTCAGCCCAAACTATAGCATCAGCAGTAACATATGCCATGTATGCTTTGAGGTGATTAGATATTTGATTATGAAATAATGCATCATACAAATGCCAATGTAGGGATCAAGAACAACCCCAATCAAGAACATTTTTATAACAAATATACTAGGATTTTGATGCTCCAATCACTATATCAGAGGGAAGAGCAACCAAGAATCCATCATCCAATCAATGCCAAAACATATATGTGGCCTTTAATTCTAATGAAAAAAAATGTGATTCACTCTAACCACAATCAAAGTGTAATAAAAGAGTTCCAAATACAAGCTATGGTCTAATGATTCAACACAATTAAAACTGCACAAGAAACATGGATATTGATAAGGGACAATGACATGACAGGACACATACATGAACATGGCATTTTTTTTTCAAACAAAGTAAGACATGAGCAGATCGGGGTACATGCTACAAATAATTAAGTTTTATATATCACATTCTAGAATCTATCTTATATTTCACTAAAATTACAGAATTATACAACATAAGAAAATTATTACTCTATGGTAGATAAATCTTGCGCCTAGTTCTCTAATGTGAATTTTCAAACTAATCAAACACAGTAGCCAGTAATCATTGATTTGCTTATAGAAAAAATGTAGCAGATATATATAATTATAGCAATTGCTGTCATCTCCTCAAGTCCTCTTCTCTGGCAAAATCTTTACCTTTTCGGATACTCTCAAAACACTTATCCGATACTCTCTTAAGATAGAGGAATGGACAAGTTATCAGAAAATAAGTATAATCGCAGGTCTTATTCCCAATTAACAATGAACTGATCCGCATAAAGAATAAAGAACTTCTGGAATCTTTTGGTTGAAAAAACTATGCTGCTGTCCACAAGCAAAACCAAATTCCTCACGAAAAAACACAAAAAATAAAATTATTCTTCCAAACTAAAATGACATCTATAAAAAGGGGAGGGGGGGGGGAGAAGAGATCAAAATGAAAACTAAATAACAGCTACGGAGCACCTACGTACCATGTCGTCATTCTAAGATGTGCGCCAAATCTATTACTATATCCTATTTATTCAAAGCCACGATCTAGCTGTCTTCCACTTACTCATGACAATTCCTTCATCAATTTTGATCAACCACTCTACAGTAATGTTATTGTGAATCTTCAAATTCTTACACCAACAGTGGTCTTAACAATGCCGGATCGAATTTGATGTCAGACTAGTAGGATCCATATTGCAATCCAATTTCATATATTAACTAAATTAATATTAAAAACAAAAGATTTGAAAAACATTGTGATTGAGTTGAATTATCGATTATGATTGGGATTTGGGTTCACACTTGAAGGGGACCTAAACCAGGATCATAATTGTATCTTGATTGGTTTGGGCTAGGGTCATAATTGGAACTTCTTGAGAAGAAATTCAAGCGTGAATTTGAAAGTTTAGCGTCTGCGAAAACTTCACATTTCTCGTGTTCTTCTGGGTTATACAAAATTTTGCAATAAAATTCAAAACTTAAGAAAAACAAAGACAAAAAAAAAATTTCCAAAAAACCGAATCAGCCGCACGGAAAGTCAACTTCAAACAAAAATGCAACAATCTTAAGACCATTTAGTATTACCATTGGCCATTGCAAAAAGATTCCACATGACGACATCAAATAAGTAATTCTAAAACGAACCATGACAGCTAAGTTTCAATCGAGAGAGAGAGAGAGAGACCAGAGTAACAAAAACAAAATTAAAGTTAAATTTCTACCAGATGCAACTTGAAATGGCAAGTAAATTTTTGCGAGATCCTAAAAAATAAATGAAGTATACGTTGACCCATGTGCATACACATGAGGAAAGAGCAAAGAAATCAGAGTATTACAAAAGAAACAACCAACAGATCTAGTTCTTCAAGGTATTTCACAAAAGTAACAGGAAAAAAGCCATTGCCAATCTATAACGTTTCAAGAGACTAGAAAATCTTTATCTCACTGTTCTACAACGTTTTACATACAGATGAAGATTAACCGCACGCAAAAGAGAACATCAAACAGGAATCTCATAGGAAATTAGAAGGTTATTTTACAGAGATTAGGATTACCATGAAACAGTTCCAAGGCCACTCAGTCCCGTCCTCCCTGGTAATCTTGGGCCTCGAAATGCCCCAATAGCTCGACACCACAACTTCGCCGCTCTCCTCGTTCTTCTTCTTCCCCGGCACCGCTGTACTACTCTCTTTCTCAACCTTCCTCGCCTCCGGCTCCGCCGCCGTGCTCATCGTCCTCCAACTCCAAGGGGCCCCACCGAGGAACCCCAAACCCTGGCCTCTCACCACCACGGCCTCATCAGAAGACGTCACAACGGCAACCGCCGACAACGGCGACGCCGCGGCCGACGATATGTAGCGACTATACTTACTGCCGGTGATCGCATGTCTAAACACAGACCTCACCATCAATTGATTCATTTTGTTTTCCGAGAAGAAAAGTTATGAAGTTGAAGTGGTTCCGCCCTTGTTTTACCGTTTATACATGAAGAGGCAAGGCAGAGTAGTGAAAGAGTGGCACCAACATTTGGTGTATCGCGATCTACCGTTTTAATTTGCTTCCCTTAATCAATTTAATTAAACTTGATAGGAAGATTTAATTGTAAATTATCTACTATTAATAAATGTAGATGAACAGATCATCCTAACTTCATAGGGCTACGTTATGACTTCTCATGATGGAGTCTAATGAACGTCATAAAGTGGTGGGTTGCGAAGCAGGAAAACGAAAAAAATCCGTGGCGGTGGGGTAGTTGCCCCGACTTTACCGGCAAAGTAAGATGACCGTAATATCCTCTACTAGTACGTGGACTTTCAAAATGTTGCCCTTTCTTTTTCTCCAAGCTTGCTGGAAATGTAACTGGCAGGTGGCTGGTCAGTAGGCTTTAAGCGTAGTGCCTTTTGTAGTTTCTACACGTGGCGCCACCGCGTATGGTGAAATTAACAACACAACAAGAACCATGGATTATAATGATTGAGCACTCAAATTAAATCTAAATAATTTTTTTTATAGGATAACAATGCGACTCAAAACAACTAAACCATAGCGAACCTTAAAGTGTTAATCTACTTGAGTTTTTCGGTTTGATATGTGCAAATTTAGTTGAACTATAATTGTTAGAGTTTGAGTCTGAGTCGAACTCTAACTTTTGTCGAGCTTTGATTTTTATGCAAACTCGCTTGACAAGGAGATGGGTGCTTAAATTGAATTTAAACTCAATTTTTTGTGAAAATAAATAAAAATTTTAGTTGTAGATCTTAAAAATCAATCCTAAAGCAATTATTTCCTCAACAAACAATCTCAAAAATATATATAATTATCTATAAACAAACTTTAGAAAGTCAAATATCTAGAAAATCTATTAGAGAATAAAGGGAAAGAGAATTGCATATGATTTAAAGTTATTTGAAGTAGGGTTGGAGTTGTTCATCTTTTTAATGTAGTTGTATAGTAGTACAATTAGAAATATTTATGAGTAGCATCATATTTGACCTTATCCAATGTTACTTGAGTTGAGCCACACATTGTTTATAGAACCAAGCCTGATTTGAACTTGACTTACTCAGATCATTGAACAGCCACAACAACTATGATCCATGATGGCTTGGCAATAAGGCCATGAGCAACTCTTTTTTTTTTTGGTTTTTTTGAAGTTGGTCCACACTAATGGACTTTTAAGACAAGAAGGAATGCGTTTTTTTTGGGACTTAAAGGACAATTAAAAGTATAAAAATTAATTTATCTTCAATGAAATAAATAATTATATTACAAAATGGATAGTAACAACAAGACGATAATAGTAATAATAACAACAACACAATAATAATAACAACGATATAATAACAATCACTGTCACTGTTATATTAACAACAACGCCTGTGTGGGTGAGGAATAAGAGGCAATCTTTAGAAATGGAGATACTATAGAATGTAGCAGGACTAAAATATAGAGTGGTGGTGGATAGTAACAACAACATAATCATAGTAACAACCACAGTTATTATCAAAATTCTATAGAACTAAATAGTAAAGTGAATTAAATAGTCATACGATTACAGTAACAACCACAGTCACAATCAAAATTTTATTAAAATAAAATAGTAATATGAACTAAAAAGCCACACGATTGCAATAGCAATCACAATGACAATGACAAATACAGTAAATTTTGTTGTCACTGTCCAAATTTTAAGGTGCAAATTTGAAACAAATTTTGCCTAATACCAAATTTTTTTTTGTCCAATTTAGTCGACCATCATTATTAACGAATTTGATGTTTTAAATTTCTAATGCATTTCATCGCACACTATTTGGATATACCCGTAAACCCTTCTTTTTCATCAATCTCGTGTACAAGGTGTGGGGGCTTTTGAAAATCAAAAAGACCCTTGAATCTACCTAGTTTATGTAATGAGCCTATAAAAAATAAGCCAAAAAGCCCTCATCTCCGGTCCGATCAGGAGTATCAAAATTAACTTATATGCATATCAAGTAATTCTCTTTTTGATTCAATCAAAAATAAATCATTCATGTCTGAACTAAAAAATTCACGACAGATAAATCTCTTATAACCTAACTACAAGATAATTTTCAACTAACTGATGACATTCAAGGTGATTAGGGGACATCTCTGATCGTTCACCTCCAATGTGGCAAGTTCTCCCCTCCCCCCCCCCCACCCAACCCAACCCAATTATAAGTAGGAGAATTACCCTTAGATCTCTTGATGTTTAAAATATTACATATAAATCTCCTAAAATTTGTACATATGTAACACTTAGACCCCTGCTGTCAAATATTCGTTATTATATCTGGTAGTAAATTACACCCAACCCCCTTGAAGTTTGTAAACCGTATAATATTTAGACTTTTCAAATTTAAAATGTTATACTAAGACCAAAAATATTTTAATCAAATACAGAATATCAAATATTTTAAATTTTAAAACTAAAATTCATGTTCTATTATATCATTTATTAAATTAAATTCAAAAATAAAAAGATAAGAGGTTTAAGTCATTCAGAATAGAACATAAATTTTACAACCAAAATTCATATCCTATTATGCCATTTATTGAAATAAAATCAAAAATAAAATTTTAATTTTTCTTAAAAATTCATAATTAATATACAATTATACTATCTATTGGAATAAAAAAAAAAAGGGGTCAAACAGTAATGGACACAATATATTCTAATTTTAATTGAGATAATTTTGTAGTTTAATTTGGTCGTTTAAACGACTAAATTAAATTCCAATAGATAGTACAACTGTATACTAATTGTGATTTTTTAAGAAAAAATAAAAAAAAAATTTTTAATTTTATTTTAATAAATATCATAATAGAATATTAATTTGGATTGTAAAATTTAAAATATTTAATATTCTATATTGATTGAAGTTTTTTAGTCTAAATATAACATTTTAAACTTTGGGGGTCTAAGTATTACACGCTTATAAACTTTTAGGAGGCTTGGATGTAATTTATTAACAGATATTGACAACAGGGGTCTTAGTATTAAACGCGTACAAATTTCAAGTGTCTGTGTATAAAATTTCAAATCGTAAGAAGATTTGAATGATTAAGTAACAAATTTTAAAAAATTTGAATGCAATTCTCCCATTATATGATGAATGAGATCAGTTGGCTAGAGAGTGGGGACTATTCTTCTTCTGGGAAGGCAAAGTCACCCTTTATAGTTAACAATTTTCATACTTTAAAAGTGTTGTATAACAACTTTCTTATTTTCTATTTATATAATCATTTTTTTTTTCGGTACATTGGAAAAATTAAAAAAAGCTACCTAAATCCTCTAAAATAAGAGGTAATAGCAGAGTCATGCTAAGAAAGTCTCCCAGGAGGTTAGGGTGAAAAATGAGGATCACCATCTGATCCGATTCTGAATTCCCATTTTAGCAAACTTATTAGCACAAAAGTTCCCTTTTCTAGATGATACCCTTAGTTATCTTTTTTTTTTTTTTTTAGTGGGGTGCGCCAAGGCCCATGCAATAGTGCAACGTCAAGAATCCCAATAGCAAGCTATTGTGGTGGACCCTCTCTCGAGAAAAATTAATTTAATATCGTGTAATACATTGTATCACTTATTAAATATTAAAGTGATAAGAACAGATACTACACTTAATCTTAGCCAAAAGGCCGAGAAATGTATATACCGTAATTATCATTTAACTATTTATCACTCATTTGACTAATACGCTTTCTATAATATCTAGCGACATTCATTATAAAAATGTTGAAATCAACATAGATGAATGGATATAAATAATCTTTTCTTTTCTATTCTTAACGCACTTTTCAAATAAGACCACCAAGTCCTACTTAATTAAAAAATCAATACTAGATCAAAAAGTATCAGACACGATGTCAAACTTATAGATGAGTCGATGCAACCCCTTAGCAGAAACAACAGTGTTATTGGAGAGTTATTCTGAAAACTTAATGTTAAGTTCTCGAATTAGATATAAGTAGCATTATTGTAAGGAAAATTGAGGTGGCGGTGGTGCATCATCAACTGATGGGAACGATGAAGATGTGTAGTTAAGTGAATTTAAATAATGTTTGGTTAATTGAATCCCTTGAGGCGTGTTCAAGGAATTATCTCCCTTTCTATATCTTTCCCTCTTTGGAATCTCACCTTTGTTAATGTTAATCTATTAAACTTTAAGATTATTATGTATTATTTTATAATATGAAACTTATTCGTTAACAATCGTAAAGACAAGGTTGCTCCATTATGATCTAGTTGTTAAAAATTCAAATCGTGAAAATATCCTCTCATACACGGAGTAAAGTTGTATACGTCTGATTTTCACTATACCTAGTAATATTGAGATCCCGCCCATTGTGCCACTTCTTTTTATATTTTATTAATTCATTTTTTTAACCTTACTGTTGTCAATGATGGAACCACCGCTCATTCAATGGCAATAATATATTAGATTCTCAAATTATATACTAATAGCATTTTTGTTGTTTAATATAATTTTATTAGACCAATTTATATCATTTAAAAGAGATTCTTTTATAGATTTCTGTGCATGCAAGATCCTGCACAATATAAAAAACGAGAACAGATCTCTCCCTTGGTGAACTTCGAGTGAGCCAGTTGAGTGACCAACCACACTGCTTGAAACAGCCTGCGAGGTCCGGTGGTAACCTAGAACGACAACGGGAGACCCTGGGGGAGCGGAAGAACGATCCAGTAAGGCTGAAAGAGGATCCTGGAACAAAGAAGTACAAGTTAGAAGGGCGCCAGAGTGTTTTTCGACGTATCCCCTCCGACGGTCTAGTCAGTCTCTGAGTGAGAGAGAGGAAGGAGAAAACACTGAGTGTGTATTGTAGTAAAGAGTTTTTCGTTGCATACCAGTCTTGCCTTTTGCAAGGAGTATTTATACCTCAAAAGCTCATGATTACTGTCAGTGTGGTCAGTAGGTGATCATTAGGTACAGGCAGTGTGCGCACTGATTCTGAGGAGGAATGTTTTCTCTTCTTAACTGCTCGGGGTCCCGAGCAATCAATGCTGGGTCATCGGGATGCCGACGGTACAATGTGCTCCTCTCGGGGAGGATGCAATAAATGCTCTGTATTAGGAGCATTTATTGCCTTTCATTTCCAAATCTTACCGCATTGAATGCGGTCTCATCAAGGGAATGGTGTCATTAATTGTTTGCTTTCCCATATCGCGTGTCAGCAACGGCATGCGGTTTCTCTGTCTTCGATGTGATATCATACGCCACGTGTCCATCCCCTATTGGCTGTGACCCATGTATTCTTGTACGTTCTGACATTAATTGTGTAAGATGAGGTCATGATGAATAGCCTAGACTAGCCTAGGCTAATGACCTGTACGTCAATAGCTCATCCTGGAGTAGAGTAAGCGTCCAGGACGGGGTACCTCTCGGCGCCGAGGAAAGGCTCATCTCGGGAACTGAGGGAGGTATGCCGACCGAGGTACCATATCAGACCGAGGCCACGTGTCGGTGTAAAACATACTGAATGCATGCTCCTATATGACGAGTAACTCGGGGGCGAGGGCCTTGTGCGCCGATAGCGCTTGATCTTAGCAACAGTGTTTTAGTAATACCGAGGACACGTGTCTTCATCATAGAGTATTTCATAAAAGTCCCATCAATTTCTTTCACGTGATTGGATGTCATCTAAAAATACCAAATTAGAATTTGATCAATTAAACAAAAATTTTTGAGAGAAGAAGACACATGTACCCACAATATAAGAGGCCCGAATTTTCTCAACTTATTATGGTTGTCATGAATTTAATATGAAGTTGTATTTTTATATTTGAATTCTAGAATTAATTAGTAATGAATTAAATTATTTTTTACTCACTACTTGAAATTCAAGTTTGCGTATTTTTGTAATGAATTAGTTGTTCTTACTAAAATTTTCTAGAGTAAAATTAAAAATTTGACTATTAGAAATTACATTTGTAATAAATTATTTCAATTGATTGGTTTTCTAGTATTGACAGATCAACATATTTGTGATGAATTAAATAATTTTAACATTCTAATTTTAATTTAGCTATGAGTTTTAGTTTTCTCCCACTGTATAAAAATTCTTGCTCTGCCCCTAATGGTCGTGCTGGCAATCATGGTGGTGAGTCTGGTGACTAGTGATGGCAATTGGGGTGGTGGTGGTGGTCAGGGACGGAACTAGGATTTTATCTTGAGGGGAGTCAACAATGACAAATAAAAATTTAATTCAATAGAGTTATTCAATGGTCATTGTCAATGATAAATTTTTATTCATAAAGAACCTATTTAATTTAATTTTTATGTAATGGCATCAAAAAAATTATTTTTGAGCACAAATCTCAAAAATGCTTCATGCCATCATAAATTTTTTTTTGTGATAATCTCCTTTTTTTTTTGCTTATTTATAATGTTATCTTATGTCTATAAATAAATAGATGTTATAAATAATCTATATAATAAAATATAATACAATTCAAATTTAAAAAATAAACAAAATGACTTTCGCTTTTCGCAGTTGAAATCTCTTTAAATTTTACTATAGAATTCATCTAATTGTTAATATTAACTCCCCAAAATTAATTGAAAAAATAAGTTCTTAAGAATATGTTTGGGATGATTTTTTAAAATTGTTTTCAGAATTTATAACTTCTCATAAATAATTTTTTTTTTTTAAAAAGTAGTGTTTGAAATCAATCCACCACTACCACTACCACTACCACAACCACCATCATCGCTACCACCCCACCACCACCTCTGCAACAACAACCATCACCGCCACCATTTCCCACCACCACTACCACTACCCCCACTGTCCCACCATTGCCACCGCCATTGCCATCACCACCGTTATCGCTATCGCCAATTTACCACCACTATCACTATCATCACCATTGCCGTCAGTTTACCACCATTGTCACTATCCGACCATCACTGCCCTACCTCTACCTCCACCTCCATCTCCACCACCTTACCCCCACCCCACCACCAATGCCCTGCCCCCACCCCACCCCACCCCCACCCCAACCACCACCACCACCCACAATCGAATGCTACTACTGTTGTCCACCGCCAATAGTAATCACTATTGTCATCTCATTTTTATATTTATTACCACTGCCACCATCATTCCATTATCACCGTCGCCCATCGTTAGCATTCACCACCACCTGTCGTCGCCCACCATCACCGCCAGCCACTGCCACCTACCTCCCCCATACATACCACCATCATTCGTCATCGCCTACCACTACCGCCACTAATTGTCACCCACCCCCACCACCCCTACCACCACCATCATCGTCACCGCCCACCACCACAACCCACTATCATCGTCACCAACCACCACCACCGTCACCTATGATTGCCACTATCACCATCATCACCTAAAACCCTCCACCACCATCACCGTTGTCACCCACGTCTGCCACCATTACTACGGTCATCGCTACCCACCACAACCATTATCGTCTCCCATCACCACTACCATTGTTCACCTCCGTTACAATCAGTGCTTAAATTCATTTGTTTCTCTTTTTGTGTTTGTGATTTGATTTTAAGTGTGAATACAAATATGTTTATTGTTGACTATTTTTTTATTACTCTACGTTTTTAGACACTGGTAATAACTAGTAGTTTCATATAATACCATAATGAAAATCTTTTGATATAAACCATATTTGTATCGCTATTTTTTTATATAAAAAAGTCACTCATTTTTTCTCTATATCATCAAGATAATTCAACAAGTTTCTTTGTCAGTATAAGTGACACTTATTCATGTGATTATATCTTAAACGGTTACGAAATATTAAGTCATCAATTTTTTTTAATACACTAAATGAGATACTTATACATTGGGTGTTTTGAAAAGTTAATGGTTATGATCTAAAAAAAAAAAGCTAGAGGTTAACAATAATTTTTTTTAAAAAAACAGCCGAAATAATGAAAATATTAAAATTTGTGGGGGCCATGGCCACCCTAGGCCTCCTCATAGTTCCGTCTCTGGTGGTGGTGGCAGCAATGTTGGTCGTGGTACCACGATGGAGGTGGATATGGCCAATCCCATGGCCCCCAAACCCCAAACTTGGTCTTGGACTTTTGTGTGAGAGTTGCTGTTGATTAGATAGAGTTTGTCAAAGTTGAAACCGTGATAAACTAAGAACTCTTCTTGACAGCAACTTATTCAGTCCAATGACTCTTTTGGGTACTATCGAAAATTTGAATTTCAATCTGAGTTCAGAATAAATTTTACTTAATTTGATATAAGTTGATGTCCAAGATTGAAAAAAAAAAAAATAGGTTGAGTAAGGGTTGGAAGTGCTATTAAGAATATTACACCGATAGAACTTCTAAAAATAAAATTCTCCCTCAAAAAGAGGTCCAAACGATGCGCACTCCAGATGGCCAAAACTCCATAGCAAAAATGGAGTTTTCAGTTGTGCAAGACCTGAAAACGTGTTATGTCCCATCCTAGTCTGGTCGGGAGGCATGGGACCTTGTCCTACCAATCGACTTAGCAACCTCTGTGAAGAGAATATGAGATTCATAAGAAAGATTCTTAAAGATGCCACCGAACCCTTGAAGCCAAAATATAATTCAAATGTATTATCATTCCGTCCTTCTTTTTGATCTTTTTGGTCGGTCTAACATAAACTAAGTACCACACAAAACAACAAACTGTTATGTTCTTCCATTCATCTCTATCATTAAAATAATCAAACAAAATATAAAATTACTAATACTAACTAAAAAAACTTTCTAAAGCATAGATTCCGATCACAATTTATTCAAGTATATTTTCACTAAACTACACTGACAACTAATTAAAAAAAAAATGGCCACATGAAGAAGAGGAAGAAGAAGATCGTTCATAACAATTCAATAGTGGCTAGTACAGTAATCTATCACCCTGCTGTGGAAATCTGGATCGTCGAACTGCGCAAACCCTTTGTTAAAACATTTTTCGGAAATTTGTGTTACTGTTTTGCAGCAAGCTTGACCAATTGAGCCAGAGTCTTTGAAGAAAATTTTGATTAGCTCTGGTACACAGTTTTCTATGGATGTCAAAACTGTTGCGCAGTTAGTTGGATCATTGATGTGGTGCAGTGGTGGTGTTGGTTTTGGTTTTGGTTTTGGTTCAACCGGTGGGGAGAGTGGTGGATGTTTATTAGATGGCGGGGATGGTGGCGGTAATGATGGCCTTGATGGAGGCACTGACGGCAGCGAAGATGGCGGGGATGGTGATGGTTTGTCATGAAACGGCGGGGATGGTGGTGGCAAGTAAGGAACTGGTGGGGTTTCCGGTGGTGGTTGTGGCCACCAGGGGAGTGGCGGCCATGGCCAATGCCATGAACCCCAGTTTTGGGTTGGTGTATCATCATCAGGTACTTCTCTGGCTAGTCCTTGAGTAAGACATACAACAATACAAACAAGCAAAATGGGCATTGTTGCACTCTTCATCTTCATCACCAACACTAGATCTCACTGATTTGATTTTCCACACAAACAATTTTTGAAGTGAGAGAATGAGTATAAATAGACAATATCTACATCATTGATTGGCTAAAATGTGATTAGAGTTTCTTCACACTTCAAACTTTGATTGATAAAGCTAGAAGACTCTTGCTTGACCCCATCTTTTAAGTTGTTTAGTGGTAATTAAACATTTCACTGTCTTCTTGACTCTATCTTTTATGCTAAAAAAATGTCCTGGAGAAAACTAGCCACCACCCTGTAATTTATATCTTACACCCACATTTAAAATGTTAGACTAATAATTATAATAATTTCTAGTGATGAAAAGTAATTTTGAAAAAAAAAATAGTTAAAGAATTATTAATTAGTGGAAGGGTGGTTATGTCACATGACAAATGTAATTAGATTAAATGCATTAAAATAAATGAAAGAGTTAATTACACTTGAAGTTCTCAAAGTATAGAGTTTGTTTCATTTTGGTCCATAATATTTCAATTATATCATTTTAGTTTCTGAAATATTGAATTTGTTTTTATGTGGTCTCTCAAGTAGACAATATCCAAATTGCTAACGATTTTTTATCATAAACATATCATCTGATACCTCAATATGGACAAAAAATAATTTTGATAGATTTTGGCAAAAAATGTGTAATATGGGCAGCTCTTAACCAAAATTTAGATAACTCTTTGACCAAAATTTGATCCAAAGTTATTCAAATTATTTTTTTACCCATATTTAGGTAATATGTAATAAGTTCATAATAAATAATTGTTAGCAATCTGAACGATGTCTGTTTGAGGAAGCACATAAAAATATATTCAATATTTAATGGACTAAAATAATACAATTGAAATACTGGAGATCAAAATTAGACAAATCCCACACTTAGGGGGATTTCTAGTATAATTAATTCTAAATCAAATCCTAAAAATTGAGAAAATAGGGAGGAAAAACCTTCTTTTTTTTTAGGGGGAAGAAACTTGAACCCTTGACTTTAAGAAAATAAAACTTTTATAAGATAAGAAATATAATTGGACCAAAAACTCATTAGTGGAGGAAGAACCTCCTGAGAACCCCCTCCTTAATTTATTTACTATATAATATAGTATAGATAAATAGATATACTCGAGGCCGGCCCAAGAATTCTTGAGGCCTATGCAAAATTTATTTGATGGGGTCCCAAATTTATTTTTAGATGAATAATTGATTTATTTATATTTTTTAATATTTAAAGGTATATCTTTTTGTAGGCATATTTAAGGTGAAAACCAACTTGCAAAACAAACTCATTATGTAACTGATTAAATTAAAATCAACTTAAGTCCGAAATTATAGTTCAACAAAATATAATGTATAAATAGGTTAGAATTATTACAAATTCGGATATTTATCTAGTGTGATATATGAAATATAAGATAAAGATGTAGTGTTAGAGTATTTCTCTTGATCGATCATGTCATATAGGCACTAGTTGGATAGGATCAATTATAACAAATCACACACTCATAATCTGGAAATATAGAAACAAAGAAATTTCGTGGTCGATCTACCAAAACAAAATGAGATAGAAATCAAAATTCTAAATGATTCATTTTGTACTGAAAAAAAAAAGGCTAAGATTTTGTGGTTCTGATCAATCCACTATTCATTGTATTGAAATTTCATCTAATAAAACGGAAGAATTATAAATTTTCAAAAAAATAGATAAAAATATTGCAATTAAAATAAGATCATAAAATCTTGTAATTTTTTTGTATAAAAATATGGTGTGCTATTTTTGAATGTACATATATTTGTGATTTAAAAAATAATATATTTTAAATTTTTTTGATCACATCTTAATTTTTTATTTTTAAAAAATTTTATTCATTTAATTCTATAAAATATTGTAAATGGTCGGGTCTAGGCAACCGCCTCACTTGCCTAGGATAGGGCCCGGCACTGGATATACTCCCAACATAGAGTCCAAAACCCGATGGTTCTTCAATATTTTCTCATATAGGAGACCCCAACCCGATCTTGGCAACTGAAAGGTTGGACCACACTGCTGCTGCTGCACCAAAGTTACACGGAGGATTTGGTGTTGTTTAGGAGCATCACAACACAATTTGTAATCGATGTGGATCAAGTTTGACCATTTTGAGTGACGAATTTGAAAATGACACAATTTATTAATACAAATATTAAACGGGTGGTTAAATTTGTGTGAAACATGAATAACTCAAAATTGGCATGATTAATATGTTTAATTTGTCATTTCATGTAGTTTTTCAATTCATTTCATGTCATTTTTTTTTGTTCAACGGTCAGAGGTGTCATGATCAGCTTATACACATGTTAATTAATTTCCTTCTAATCTAGTCAATGGCCTAGTCGCGTGAGGTTGCAAAAATTCGCACTTAAGATGTCTCGGTTTATAACTCGTTCGTTTTATCACTTAAACTATTCATTGAGATTATCTCAAGTTATTTTAACCTCTCTATTATGATAATGATGTCATTCGCATTACAAAGAAAAATAATTTTTATTTAGGAAGGTTTTACCTAATAAATTAATTTCGTAGGTGAAAATTTTTTATATATGGAATGTTATGAAATTTTTAATCTACAGCCTTATGGCCAAAAACGAAACAATTTTCGCACAAATTAAATTTTAACTACAAAAAATATCGTAGTTTGATTAAAAAAAATATTTTATATTTTTTGGATATCTTACTTAATTTGGGCGACAAATTAATTTGAGTCGGTCAATGAAGTAAAAATTTAATTTGAGATTTACTGAGACCAACAGCAAGATAAAAATAATATGACACTGTCAAAATAAAAAAAAATTAAAATTTCAAATTCATAAAAATGGGACTGATCAAAACAATATTATGGTCCTATTTTTTTTCGTTGCTCGAAATGAAATTTTTGCTGATACAGTGAGGAATTCCCTCCTTTTTAAATTTCTTTAATTTAAGAAATAATTTCATTGGAAGATCTTTTGTAACAATCTAATTCTACCCATCATTTATCCCCCCAGAATTTGTAAGACCCTGTACTAAAATTAAATAAGAATACTAATATCTTAAGAGTTTTTCAAATATGAATAAAATGAGGATAAAAACTTAGAATCATTGTTGAAATATTAATCATGAAGTTTGAGTTTCGAACGGATTGACTTTTGGGTCAAACTTAATTTTTTTGGATGTGTTTAAGATTGATAAGGGTAACTAAATAAATATATTAATTTTTTTTTATCAAAATAACATTACCATTGAATTCGGGAGGTCGGAAAACATTGGGAGAGGTAATATGGGATGTATTAGAAGTTAGGAAGTATTTTAGAAGTAAAACCAAATTGGAGTGAAATTGGGTAAAAAGGGATGATAGACACTGCTTAGTATTTTGATCATAACTTTATATTTTGATGTCCAATTGATCTGAAATTTTTACAGGAAATAGTAGACATCTAGGGCTACAAAAGTGTATTTCATGAAACATTTCCAATTCGACCTCTAAATGGGTCAAAACTGACCTGAAAGTCGCACCAAAAATCTGTAAACAGTACGAAGGAAATCCGATTTTTTCTGAACAGAAAATATCGGGTTTTGCTCAATTTTCTTGCCCTATAAAAACCTAATGTCATCCCTTTAGCATTCATTTCACCCCTCCAAACCCTAGGAACCATTTTAGAGGAAGATAGAAATACCAATCAAGAGGGATTTATACCTTGTAAAAATCAAAACTTCAAATTCTTCAAGAATACATTCTCCTCCCTTTTTCTTCCATTCTTGCTACCCTCTCACTCAAATCTTTTGAAACCCTAGGAGGAGAAGATTAAGAGGAAAAGAAAGGAGAGCAAGAAGGTCTTGAAGCTTGGGTCTTAGCTTGGAATCTTGATTTAAGGTAGGGGATTTTCTCTCAATCTCTCACATTGAGGCTAGCTATATATCTATAGATATATGTTTCTTCACTCTCCTTCTCATATATATAATATGAAATACATGATTCTTGTTCTATTTGTAATAAATGCCATGTTTTGAACAATATGAAGGGTGGGTAACTACCAAAGCTCTATTGATTTTTTTTTATCTTCAAAGCCCTAGTTTTCAAGAAAATGGGATTTTCTCCTAATTTCTTCTTTGTCTTTGATTTTAAAACTTTAGTGTTGAATATTGTATAACAAAATGATATAGACTACGATCTCTTGCATATTTTCTTGGATTATTCGATTATATGACAAATGTGAAAACAAAATTGGGGATTTTACTATATTTGGGAAATTGTTGTGAATTGTGAATAGTCTTGATTTCCTCATTGTATGGTTGTTGTGATGGACTTGGATTACCTTCGAGAGATGCCGTAGAGTGTTAGAGGTTAGTCTATCCCAATGGGAGGTGAGATGGTTGCCTAATGCTCGTAGTGGATCGTTGTTGTGCTCGCGATCACTATTGTTCACTTATACACCGAGGAAAAGGGTTAGTATACTAGACACATTGGGAGGATTTCGTCAATGCCGTAGGAGACGGTACACGCCCTTCCTAAAGAGATTTGTGATTGTTGGTTGGAATTGGTGGACTAGGCATGATCGTTAGGTAGATTCACGAGAAGCAATCAACATACATGGTACGGGGATGAACCAAAAATACATGAAATCGGGAGTTGGGTCGTTCATGCCGACGCATTGGTATGAGACAATGCTTAGGGAGAAGCCCTTCTTAAATAGCTTAAATTAGAATTTTGTTTATCGATGCTAAACTCACTTTATTCTTTTAACTGATTATTGCTATTGTTTAAACTTGAGATCTCTTTTAAAATGTCACTATTTTCATTCCAAACCTATATATATGTTAGTTGTGAAATGAGACCGACCGTTTACTATGTTTTTCAAACCTTGTTTGAGTTGAGAGGATTTTGCTACAGAGCTTCGTGCTCACCCCCTACAAATAAAAATTTTCAGATTTCACACTTGAGGAGGAGTTAGGAGCCGAGGAGCCCACTGATTGGAAGACTCCGCTTGACGGGGATGTGGATCCCGAGGTGGACGTTTAGAGCGACACTTTTATTTTGTTCTAGACTAGATTATGCTTACAATATCCTTTTGAACTCTAGTTCATTTCTGTTATTTCCGCTGCGTTATATTATTACATTTTGGATATGTAAAAGCCAAGATTAGACCTATTAATTTGGGATGATAGTGTGGATATGACATATGATGAATGCAAGTTTATTTTATGATGGAAAAATGGACCCGGTGTGGTCAATAGTTATGCATATGTGGACCCGATGTGGTCAATTGTAATATAATTGTACAGGTTGTGTTTTGGGTAGAGCTCCCCGTACAAAGGAGACTCTGTCCAAATTTTGTTAAAATATGAATGATTGATGAATGAAACTTTCGTCGTGATGAATTTTACTTAATGCTCTCATACGGTAAATGGTTTTTAGAATGTAATGTCACCCACGGGGGTTTTTGGGGCGTTATAGAATTAATTAATTTAATCTAACCAACATTATTACTTGGTAAAACTATCCAATAATAATTCATCAAATGAGCAAAATGAACTTCATTTACTCGGTGAGTTATCATTGGACAGTTATACCACCTGATAATGATGACATTGTATAATTGTTACTAAATAAAGGAGTTTTCTCGAAGGAAAATTGGAGCAGATAAGACTTTTTGTAAAGATGTCGGCAAGCTAAGAAACACGGATACTTCGTCAAGGTTGATGTACCTGTATCCAATACTGTATCGGATACGATACTCGTCGGATATTCGATGATACGTATCGGATATGCATCATCTGTATCCGATAATTAATAAAATATGTGAATACTTAGCGGATATTTCTAAACATGGAGCAAGATGTATAATTTTTAATTTTAAGCTATATCCCATCTTTGGAGTTCACATACAATACAAAATATCAAAAAAATTTCATCTGATTTTGAAAACACGAGTGTTTTTTAAATATTATCTATTATTATATGTTAAAAAGGTATAAAAAAAAATGAGTCACTTACACTATACTTTTAAAAATAAATACTTGTAAAACCAACTAGTTAAATGTTATTATGATTCATTTAATTTGTCATGCTCATTTTATGAACAGATCATAATGAGACGATATTACGTCCTTTTCATGGTAAAATTTTTTAATTTTACTTATTAATGTTAAAGAATTATTGAAAAATTATAATTTATAAGTCGTTAAATAATAGTAAAATATAAAATATATTTTATTATAAACATATCCTGACTGTATCCGTATCTTTTTTTAAAAAATTTTATTGTATTATCGTATCTGTATCATATTATATTTGTATCACATATCTGTATTTATATTCGTATCTATATTCATATCCGTGCTTGGTCAAGTGAGCGGACAAACTGAACCATCAGTGTCTCTGCACCGTTGATTGGCTAAAATATGATAAGAGTTCTACACACTTAAAACTTTGAAAAGTTAAGAACTCTCCTTGACTCCATCTTTTAGTCAAGAGATTTATAAGTTGTTTAGTGGTAATTAAATATTGGGTAATTATTATTAGACACCCCTTCTAAATAGACATATCTTTATTAAAACTCTCGTCTATTATTCAAAACATCATTGACATTTCTGTTAGGGGTGTTTACCCTACTCTACGGGTAGAAAATATTGTTTTTCGTCTTCCTATCCGATACTTTATGAAAAAAAAAATTCTTAGCCTACCCTATCCGATCAAGTATGGTATTTCTACCCTGATTTCCTACCCGATTCAAGTAAACACTGTTGTAGCTATTAATTTTTGGATCATTTTAACAATTCAATTAAATAACATGCACCAATTTAACAACACAATAAATCAATAATACTAAAACCTAAAACAACTACAACAACAATTACAATAAAACATAAAAAAACATGAACATCATTCATCATAATTGTAACACAAATACAAACAATTATTTTAAGTTTAAACCATATAAAACACATTATAATCATAACTGCTCCAATAGTTCACTGCAAATCATATAACCTACACAAAAACAAGTCCATATTGTTGCAGCTCAAAAATCCACCACAATAATAATATTATAATATAAATTATACCACACAAATA